GGCAGATATACTTTAGTAGTTATAAGGAGTGGGGGCAACTACATACCCCAAACAACATTTGAGTGGAGTAGAAGTGTAGAACGTGTAGTCCATTAACAAAAATAACCAAACACTTTCCCCTAAAAAACAACTGCTCCCCATTAAAAAGTCCATGTGAGGGAACAAAGATTTCTAAATTCTATTACACGACTCACGTACTATTTATTAATTTGATGCTGCAATACCATAATGAAGATAAAACTGAGCTCTCAATTTCATGGCCTATTTTGAGTGATTGTCTAGCTTGTTTTTAGAGAGAACGACAAACTTCTTGTTTTTGGAGTGAGGATAAAACTGAGTTCTCAATTTCATGGTCTATTTATGCCCACCTAAACTCTAAATTTGTGGTTAGGCAGCTACGAAGTTCAAAAAAAGTCAACTTTAACACTGCTAGCTGATCTCAAGGTCTCATCTTGTTTCATATGATTCTATGATGCTCAATATATATTTTCTGATAACTCTCTACAAAGCAAAAACAGCATGAGAATTGAGTTGCATCCCAAGCCTTGAAGGAAAAACAAGAATTTTATGCTGCTACATTTAGATTCTCTGATAACTCTCTAAGAAGCAAAAACTGCATGAGATTTAGTAGCTTCTGAAACATTGAGAGAAAACCAAGAATTCTATGCTGCTTTAAATGCCCTCCATCCCTCAGGTATATTCAAGTAATGAATAGGTGAACCTCTACACGTGTAGCCGTGGGATCAAGTTTTTCTAAAAGGCTAATTACTTCCCATGTGATGCCTAAAGTCTAGCACTTAACATTGAAACTCATACAACAATGAGAATCAGAACCCAAAACAAAAACATCAAGTACCCATCCTCGCAACCTTCTAAGAAGAAGGTGAACCTCAGCACAAATAGTCACAAATACTCTTAACCCATTGGCAGTTATAGCTACGTGGCTATGTAGTTATATGGAGTGGCAGAAACTACCCCTAACAACATTTGAGTGAAGTAGAATGGGTAGTCCATTAACAAAAATAGTCCAAATACTTTCCCCTTAAAATAATAGCTCCTCCCATTAAAAAGCCTATGTGAGGGAACCAAGATTTCTAAATTCTAGTACACGGCTCACGTATTATTGGCTAATTTCATGCAGCGATACCATAGTGAAGATGAAACCGAGTTTTCAGTTTCATGACCTATTTTGAGTGATTGTCTGGATTGTTTTTAGAGAGAAAAATACACTCCATATTAGACACTGTTACAAATGATCTTACTCCCTCCATCTCTTAATTATCTTCTTGAAATTGACACAACTTTTAATAAAGTAGTCGTTGTGGTTTGTGTAGAAGAAAGAGATATAATACAAGAAAGTGGAGACAGCCCAAATAGAAAACTACAAAGAATCAAAGATAAATATGGACAACGCTTCAAAAATCTCAACTTTTGTCCAAAAATCTCATCAATAGTCCAAATTCAGCATTACACACTGATAATTTGTTCCAATAAACTTTTTTTTCACAGTCAACTATCCAACTGTCCATACAGCGTAAATCGCTACTGCTACTGAGAAATCAATTCTTAAAGTGGAAAGTAAATTTCATCTACAACTACTACTACGACTACCACATGCTAGAGATAATTCTTTTGTTGTAGTGGGAAGCAATTTTCAGTTTTGTTAAATTCATCAAACTAAAATTCTTTAAATTCAAACAAAGTGCCAATAAACAGACCCTAAATCTATACGAAAACGCATACGTATACCTCTCACGGCGTTGTTCAGGAGTCAGGCCATCATCCTTATTCTTGCTGTTCTTGGATCCATTCCTAGCCTGAGCTCTTTCTCTATCTTTCTCCCTCTGGTTTCCGCGTTCGAATCAGTCAAGGAATACCCAAATACAAACGTTAAATCTCACGAAATCTAGAAACAATCGTCGAAATTACGCCGTAAATGCACGAATTTCGACAATAACAAACACAAATTGAGATTTTTTTTTTAAAAAAATAATTGTGATTGCGGAAAAGGATATGAGTCATTGCCGAGTAACCACAGAGAAGAAGAAGAAGAAAACCCCTGCAAGAAAGAGACGACGGTCTATGGATGAACGAATACGGCTCCAAGTTGAGAAAATTCGCCGATTTCTTTTGCAAAGAATATATATATACGGAGTGAAATACACGCCATATTCTTTTTTGAGGCCGGTTCCTACTCCTATACTAACCCCAAACCCCCATCTAGACCCAACCCGAACAAGCTTTCTCACTCCTTTCAATTGTACTCCAAGTTGATTTTAACTTTGAATTCAAAATTTAATTTTAAAGTCAAAATCAACTTGAGAGATACCGGGGGTGGGGGCGTGTTCCCGTCAGGGCGGGGTGGAGGTGTGTTCTCGTCAATTACCGTGGGTTAGTGGGTAGAAACCGTCAATTTTACGAATGGGACGCCAGAGCACTTCCGGGTCATTCCATGACATTGGTTTCCCATGTCATGGGAACCAAGGTGTTCTTTTTTAGATAGAACCATGGAGTCCAATTTGCATTGACTTTCCCTTTGATCCTACATTCTTTTATAGATATCTTTATTAGAATTGTTTTTTACCTTTTACAGTATTGATGTTTAACTTGAGATTAATTGTGTAATTTTACGATGTTAATGTATTTTTTTGTCATAACCAATGTTAGAAGTTGTTAATGTGTCGTTTGTCAACTGAAGTCGTTGTTTATTGCAACCATAGTCTACATATATCGTGCCTGAACGGAATTCTAATCTACATCATAATCATTATTGGTCTTGTTTGGAAAAAGTGTTTTCGACTAGTGTTAGCGTTTTGGATAACATTTTAATGGTGTAGATTAACTCTGAAAACGGGAACATCAAAGACTACTGTCGGATAGCATTTTCAAAACGCTAACACTAATCACTAACGCTCATGCCAAATGGGATCGTTGTTGTGTTGTCCATCAAGCCGACATCAGAATACGTCACTAGATTTATGATCGATATGAAATTATATTTTTAGCTTTCAATTAAACACACACGTGAAAGTCAAAAAAGCAGTCCATATAAAGGTATCCATAAAAGAAAGCCTACAAATATAATATTTAATAATATATGACAAAATATGAAAAAACATTGTGTTATAAAAGACTAATTATAAAATTTATTTTAAAAAATCATTTAAAGTAGTGAGAAAAATTGAAATTGTTCTGATGTACCAAAAAGTACAAGATTGCTTAACTTTTTTAATGATCTATGAAAATTTATAAGAGAAGATGATCTTATGCTAATTCAATAATGCACGATCTCCCTAAAAAATAAATACTAATAAAACCAAATAGATATTTAATTATAGAATTATTAAAATAGTAACACCAGTACACCGCTAGTTTTTTGGTAGCTTTTGGCATAACCATGCATTATATTGTTTACTATCAGTGGCAAAGAGTGTGAAAGATTGGTGGCAAACATAACTAACAAAATCACAGCTTGGGCATCAAAACACATGTCTTATGCAGGCAGGTGTAGAGTGATTGGTAGCATACTGTCTAGCATTATGATGCTTTGGTGCAAGCTGTTTATTATCCCAACAAAAGTCATGAGGATGGTACAGAATGTATGTAGAAACTTCCTGTGGGGAGCCACTGCTAGTTATGTGAAGAGACCACTGGTCAGCTGGGAGGAAGTGTGCATGCCTAAATCTGTTGGGGGATTAGGCCTAAGGAACATGGTGTATTGGAATAGGGCTTATGTCTACAACTATTGGTGGGATATCGATAAAGACAAAAATAACTTGTGAGTGAAATGGGTACATGGAAGGTATATCAAAGGGGAGGTAACTAACTATATATTGAAAGGGGATTGTTGTTTTTATTGGAAAAAGATTACACACAATAGGAAGTGGTTTATGTTGGGAAACGAGGCTTGGATAACGCAACGGAAAACAAAAATTTATAGTCCAAAACTCGATTCCACCCAAGAACAACTTACGTAAATTACTAGCTATAGTAAGAAATTTACCTGAACGGTGAAAACGGAGAACGGAGGAACGGTCGGGGATGGTTTTGAGGAGATGAACATAGCGCCAAACGTATGAAGCCTCCAACGTATCCACACGAACTTGCTCCGGAGTCCAAGATTAAACTTGTGCTAGCAAGTTTAATATAGGATAGTAAAAACTATAATAATACTACTTTGGAAGTAATAAATATATAGTAAAATATTTATCTTATAAATATTTGTTTATAATATTTTGTGTATATTTCTAACACTTTAGAAAAATAACTTTGAACACAATAAAAAATTTTCTTCTATCTTCCTTGTGATGGCCGAATATCACTTATGAAATGGGGTGGGATTTATTTCATTTTATAACACATTAATTAATGTAAGATGCCATGAAGCTTCCTTGAGACATTAAATTGTGATAATGAATTAATCAAAATGCAATATCTCTAACCACCATAACAAAACAAAATGGAATCCCTACATCAAATAATAATCAAATATATCATTTTGACATTAAAAATACTTTATGTATAAAATCAAAATGGTCTTGAATTTTTCCTCTTGAAATTTCGGACATCACATATTTGAAATATATCATATTTTATTTTGACATCAATAATTATCATATAATTAAAATGATGAAAAATAAAATAATATATATATATACACACACATTCGGCGCTACATATATATATATATATAATAAAATTTGTTTTGTCAAAATATAATTATCATATAATTAAAATGACATAAACAAAATATAATTTTAAAATACATATGTATTTTCGAAATACATATATATGTATAAAATTATCACAACTATATACTCCATCCGTCCCAATGAGTTTGTCCACTTTTCCTTTTCGGGTTGTCCCACTATTTTTGTCCACTTACTTAATTTGGTAAGAAAAACTTATTCAAAAGTCTATTTTACCCTTCATGCCAATAAAATCACTTCCTCCATTAATATCCTCATCTTCCCATCCACCCATCATTTACTGTGCCTCATCTTACTCCGTATATGTTTGGCAAAGCTCCTTCTCCATTTTAGATCTCATTCTCTCTCATCAACAAGAAACGGATCGTAGGTGCCTTGAACTGGGAAATCAACGATGCCGCCGGGAAAACTCTGCAGCATCCGGCCATGCCTAACTCGGTCCCGTTCTCGTAGCAGACTCAATTCAACTCGGTGACTCGTCAGAAACGCCCTCTCAAGAAAAAACCATTCTGCCCTCCCCCAATCTAAACTTGTACGAGTGGGACGACACTGGCTAATTCCGACCTGTCGCCCTCTACGACAGATCTATGCCTGAGTCGGATGAGTTGAATTCGTCGAAAAGTCTTCCGATGGCGGTGGATCTAAAACTTTGTTCTCAAAATATGAAATGCTTAGTTTTTTTAAGCATCACAAGTTTTTTTTCTTTTTTTTTTGTCATTTTATGTCTAAATTTGTAAAAACAGTTTGATTCACAATTCTTGTAGGGGAAGTTTGATTCACAATTTAAAACAACATAAATAAGTTAAAGAATGAAAATTTATTGTTTAAAAAAATTAAGTAAAAGTTTGGCAGCATTCAATCATGTCTGCGTATGTCTTTTTTTGTTTTTCCCTTCTTGCTCTAATCGTAGCCCATAAGGGCATTTTAGTCCCTTTCCACTCCCTTGTCCCACTTCTTGATATTTGTGCCAAAAGTTAAGTGGATAAACTCATCGGGACGGAGGGAGTATTTAATATTACTCCCACTAGTGTAGTATACTACTCCCTTACAAATCCTAAGTGTGTGATCTTTTAGGTATCCATAACACTGGCAATGATATTAATAAAATTAATACCATAGATAATAAGCGGTATCTAGCAACACATTATTACCCCCGATTATGAAAAAAACATTCATCTCATCAATACCTTCTACGACACAAGACTTTTTATAACTATTATCCTTCCGTCCTAAATGTCATGATTTAACACAAGACATGGGATGTGTATCCTTGTATAGTTAAATCAGCTGTTACTGAATCTCAAGTAGACTGGCAGGGATCAGATATTTATCAGTCTCTAGATAGCGACATATCTGGGCATGGCCATGCACTTTCCCAAGTCCTACTATTCAGTGGGCCCATTGACATTATACTTCTATACAGTAGAAGGGACAAATCCTGTATCTGTTATTCACATCTCTAAATATGCTTAGCGGCATACTCAACGCATAACTGTACGTCTACCAGTATTTCAGATAGCATTAGTTATGAATCAAAGCATACGGTCCCACATATCAGAGAATGTAATAACTTCAAGTCTGATGATAGTTATAGCAAGGTCGATTTGAGAAAACTGATAAACACATTACTATAGATCCATGCAGTATTCTCAAGATGGGTCAATCCAGTCACATATTATCGATATAATATGCACCTACGTACAGATTAAGATATCACAATACCTATAGTCTATGAGACGCAACTACCTCATCTCGTACGTACTAGTCTTGATACGTTATGACGTCCGTATTATCATAAAGTGCGACTAGGGATATTCTAGACATAGCCTTCGTCAAGAAGTAACAGTCTCATAATCAGAACATCGTAGTCCTCATCTATGTTACTGAAGCGCTATCGTCTATGGACTGAAGCTATGTTATGTTACACGAGATATAAAACATACTTCAAGGCCTTTCATTCATGATAAAGTGTACAGTTACATAGGTATTTGATTGCCGCTAGGGCACCTAAATACAACAGTTTAAAGATCTGGATATGACAAAAGGATACACTACTGAGTTGGGTTACGCCTGGCTGCTGGGGCAAAAAGAAAAACCTAGTTGGTTCCCATTTGTTTGGAGCAACCTTACTGTACCCAAACACCAATTCCTGCAATGGTTGATTAGTAGAGGAAGAGTAAGCACCAAGGTAAGACTAGCCAAATTTATGAACATTGACACCAATTGTGAACTCTGTGGCACAGCGGCAGAAGACCAAGATCATTTTTCAGTAGGTGTGTTTGGAGTACTGATCTACTGGATAGAGTATCGAACTAGATGTGCTATAGATTTGAGGGTGATGAGGTTCAAGAGATAAGGCAGTCTATAATGAAAACAAAGGGGATTAGAAGAAAACAACTAACAAGTGCCTATGCAGCAGCATGCTACGCTATTTGGCGAGCCAGGAACAAGTTACTCCACTCAAAAAGAACGCCAAAGATGGAGGAGTTACTGGAAAGGGTGAAGTACACAACATCAACTTACTGGACAAAGAGAGGAGGGGGGAAATGCTGAGTATATGTGATATTTAATTTGGTTTCTGTTATTAGAAGTAGATATGTTTGATTGTAAACTTGTTGGTGGTGATGAATGAAGAAGGTGATTTTGTTCAAAAAAAACAACATTGTAATCTGATCTCTCTATTTCCTTAAAAAACATGAATGGATATAAATATAAATTTTGTAAATCATTAGGGATAATTTTGAAACATTTTCTTCATTTAATATATAAAATAACAAAAGGATAAAAAAATGAAAAAAACTAATTAAATTAACTTCAAAAGATTTAATAGGAAAACAAGAAAACCAAGATGAATGTGTAATTATATTTAAGTGTTGTTTGGTATCAATGTTAGAATTTAGCATTACCGTTTTGAAAAGTCATTCGACGATAGTTTTTAGTGTTAAAATTTTTAAAATTATTCTACACCATTAAATTTTTATCCAAAATACTAACGCTAATCGAAAACGTTGTTCCCGAACATGGCCTTAGCTTAATTGTAATATGGTTATACTTCCTCCGTCTCATACCATTTTTCTCAATTTGACTTTTGTAATCAATATTTTTAACCCTGGTCACAAATTACAAAAGAATACATTAAATTGTTATATAATTTTAATATCAATGGATTTATTTTGAAACGTAATTTTGAAATATCATATTTTTATAATTCATATTTATATTTAACTAAAGATATTAAAGGTCAAGTATTATATTAAAAATTTTGAAAAGTCAAATGAAAAAATATAAGACGGTGGGAATAGTTGGAATATCTTTTTGTTACAAATTAAAGTTAGGGTAGCTTTTTGTTAAACACTAAAATTTGGGAAATGAAAAAAAGTGAGTTTTTTTGTGTCATTTTTCCTGAACATTTTTAAAATTACACGAATTTCTCTTGAACTTTAAAATTTGCACTAATGTCTCTTAGCTTGAACTTTTTAAAATATTGTACCAATAGTCCTTCTATGCCAGTTTTAGGTGTACGTTAATTACACATTCATCAAATGTAAGTATGGATTCATCCAAAGTCATATATCATACATGAATTTTACAATGTCATTCCCAAATATTATTTTTTATATTTTAGCCTCTTTAATCCTAAATATTTATTCTCGATTTAGTCCTCGATAACCGAATTTGAAGATTGGATATCAATCGAAGAACCTTGTCATCAATTGATCAATCTCTTCATCAATCAATGACATCTTCATCAAACGCCAGTACATATATTGATGAGCGTGTGATTAATGTGCTTTTAAATCTGATATAGAAGAATCGTTGGTGTAATTTTTTTGTAAAATTTCAAGAAGTATTGATGTAATTTTTAAATTAGGATGAATCTACGCGATTTTTAACAATGTAAATGACACAAAAATTCAAAAAAGTCATGCACAAATAACAAATTAACCTATGAAAAAAAATTAACCTATGAAATTTCATTTTTGTGCCGATTTTTTAATTTCCTCACAGAAAGTGGAAGCGCCCCACAGTTCATCCAAAACCCCTTTCACTCCCTTCTTCTTCTTCTCTTCTTCTTTCACATCGCCTCTCCGTCAAATTCCTTGTCGGCATACCATACACAATCCAAATCTTCAATCTTCCCACACCTCTACTCCGTTTGTGTCTCCGCTTCGTTGCAGCTCCGCGAAGAAATATCCATTTTTTCCCTGGTAAACGCCCGGTGCAGGCTCTTCATATGCTGAATATTTGCTTCCATTGATATCATACTTGTCAGCTATGGTTCTGTTTTTCTTCCGATCCGGAGTGCTCGGTTAATCTCTTTTGTGTGCATCTGTTATTTACATGTTATGTCGTGTCAATGGAATGAATACCTGGAATTGAAGGTTAGGTTTTGAAATTGAATCGAACTAACATTCCATTATGTGCCCATCTTGCATTATGCTCCTTTTCGTTCGGGCAAAACTTAAGTAAACTGTAAAAGTGGCGAGTTTGTCTGTACTCAGTATCATTCACAAGGTGATGAACAATCCGTGTTTGGATGGAGGTTCTATAACTTAATTACATGTTAGGAAAAAATCAACACCCGAGAACCCAGATTCGGTGTTTTCCCGAAATTGTTTTTTAGAGGTGAACCCACATTATCCTAAAACTTTGTTTCGTGTAATCGAAGTACTCTTCAAACGAAGCGAACACCAGTTCACACTAACCAAACTGAGGCTCATAGCTATAAACAATCCTGTCTATGAACTTATGATGCAGCATTTACCTGTTTTAAAATTCTCTTGCCTTTGAGTGGGCTAGTAATTCAGCTCATTTAAACTGTGGTAGTATTTCTTATTGGACCTTTATGATTTTTTGCTTATTTTCTATAGGGTAAAAATGGGTAAAAAAGCTAAGAAGAAGGCTAGAAGTGGCCACAGTGAGAAACAGGTTCATGTTTCATCACCTATCCATGTTTCTCATCAGAGTAAAAGCATTAGCAATTTTCAGAAAGGTGGAGTTGCAGTTGTTGAAGAGGAAAAAACATGCCCCCATGTTGAGAAGAAACTTAATCTTGAAAAGGTTTCTGCAAAATTGGGATCTTCAGAATCAATTAGGTGTGAAGAATGCATGGGTGAAGGCGTTGATAATCAGTCATCTAAAGGGAAGACAAAGCACACGAAAAAGAAGGTAAGCACGGATAAAGCTATATGGGTTTGCTTAGAATGTGGTCGTTTTTCATGCGGGGGTGTTGGTTTGCCTACTACACCTCAAAGCCATGCAGTTCGGCATTCAAAGAAATATCGTCACTCACTGGCTGTCCAATATGAAAATTCCAACCTAATTTGGTGTTTCCCATGCAATAAACTGATTCCTTGCAATAAAACAGATGACAGTGCTGAACACAAAAAGGTAATACATGACATTGTGAACCTAATCAAAGGAACACAGCCTGAAGTTAAAAATGTATGTGTTGATAATGTGTTTTCTTCAAGTGGTAGTGGAAGTATCAGGAGTTATGTCATATCAAAACAATCTGCTTTGGTTGGGTTGGATGGTAAGTCTGGGTATTCTGTCAGAGGATTTATTAATTTAGGGAATACTTGTTTCTTTAATTCAGTAATGCAGAATCTTATGACAATTAGTAAGTTGCGGGAACAGTTTATCGGGATGGATGGTTTTNTCTTACTGCTGCCATGAAAAAGCTCTTCATGGAGACACACCCTGAAACTGGTTTGAGGGGCGCTGTTGTAAATCCAAAATCTGTTTATAGTTCGATATGCTCTAAGTTTCCTCAATTTCGAGGATACCAGCAACAAGATAGTCATGAGTTGCTTCGATGTTTGCTTGACGGTTTATGTACTGAAGAACTGGCTGGAAGTGGAAGAACGAAAAATGCCTCCAAAGAAGATCCCACCTTAATTAGTTCTATCTTTGGGGGGCAACTTTCAAGTACTGTTAGTTGTCTAGAATGTAGGCACTCCTCAGTAGTACATGAACCATTCCTAGATCTGTCATTGCCAGTTCCAACTAAGAGGCCACCGTCCAAGAAATCCCAAATAGTGACTCGACCAAAAAAATCAAAGCTTCCCCCAAAGAAAAGTGGCAGGATTAGTACAAGAGCCAGCAAATATATAATCTCTCAGCCTGCTCAGAGTGCTCCAGAATCTGCAATGGTTTCTCTAAGAGATGCATCATTAGATTCCCTTGACGTTAGTACTTTGGCTGATGACATGGGTTTATTTAGCTCAGCCACTCAGGAATCTGGAAATGATACAATGATTGAAGCAGGAACTTTAAACCACACTGATGATTCAACATGGTTGGATTATATCGAGCCAGAAACATTGCCTACTTATGAAGTTTCACCTTTGCACAGTGATGAATATTCCAATAATAAGTATTTTGGGGATGTAAGTTTTGTTCAGCATGATGTCTCATTGCAACAGAATTCAGAAACTGATTTGGAGATTGCTTCCCCATATAGAGATGTAACATCTTCTTCAGACAATTTGGCATGCTCGAATAATCTAGAACAAAATGAAGTGTTATGTGCAACTCAAGGTCACGATATGGAAATTAATCCCTCCTCTACAACTCATTGTGAAGATGATATACCGTTGCAGGTACATGATTCAAAAGTAATCTTTCTTCCATACAAAGAAGAAAGTACATCTTCATTTGAGGTACCAAAAGGAGAAAGTGAGGTTTTGTCAGTAGCTGGTTGTGAACAAGATGTGGATCTTGATGGCTTTGGGTGCTTATTTGATGAACCCGAGGAGATGACTGCAGGTTGTTCTGTAAAGCCCTCATCAAACAGTGACTCTGATCCAGACGAGGTTGATAACAGTAATTCTACTGTATCAGTGGAGAGTTGTTTAGCTTATTTCACAAAACCTGAAAATCTAACCATAAGTGACCATGCCTGGAAGTGCGAAAATTGTTCAAAAGTTCTTCTAGAACAAAAGAAGCGAGAGAGGGTTGCAGATGGATATGGGGATATGCTCGATGGTGAGTTGAATGACCATAGATATAATGACAATGACACCTGCAGCTCTAGTAGTGAACAATTTTATAGATCACATAGCACTGATATTATGGAGGGGAATCACTCTATATCCCAAAAATCTAAGCCAGATGGAACTGTGGATGCGGAGACAGATTCTGAAACTGTCAAAGTAGAAAGAGATGCAACAAAGAGGATCCTCATTGATAAACCCCCTCGAGTTTTGACTATTCATTTGAAGAGATTCAACCAAGATGCTCGAGGGCGGCTAAGTAAACTGAATGGCCATGTTTATTTTAAAGATACACTTGATCTCAAACCCTATATTGATCCCAGGTATGTTAAGTCATAAGTGTTGTTGCTGTTGTCATTGTATGTAGTGTTAGGCTTCTTGCTTCTTGATCACACAAGGCTTGGAACTTAGTACTAAGTAGCAGCTAAGAATTTAATTTTCTAACATTTTAATATGAGTTTGAGAGGAAAAGAAAAGTGAGTAGAAAATAAACTGTGAAGGGGAAAACCAAATTTCATTCCTATATGGTGAGGAAGAGAGAAATCTTGTCAATAGCAACCAATTTGGCGCTTAACTTCTCTCCTTGCACTCTCTTCAATCCATTTTGCTCAACTCCTCCCTCTTTTTAGCTATGTATTCTCACCAAAACTCATCAAAGGAAGATATTTTCTTTACCATTTTTCTCTGATAACCAAACAAAACTAGGATTTTGGATTCCTTCCATTTTTTTCATTTCCTTAATATCTTTCTTTCTTTCCAAAATCCTCAAGGCAAACATAACATTAGGACTTAGGGTTCACGGTAGAATGTTTTGGAATGCTTTAAGGGAAATATGAAACCCTCATACTAGTTATCTTTCTAAAAATAATATCTCCCACCAGTTCAAGGTTCTTGATCTATATATTTGAAAAACTGAGTCCAAGAAGCAAAAAGTTTGGCAGATTGTGCTGTATTTAATCCTTAACACACTGCTTGGTTCAAGGAATTCAGAAGGAAGAAAAAAAAGGAAAATGGTATGGATTTATCAACATACAAATTCTTTAGGTGTGGTTGTACTTTTGAAGAAGGTGACATGAAGGTGGTGGTTCTTGTTTTTCATTTTATGGTCTGGAACTCTGGATTTTGTATTGTTTTGGGTATCTAGGTCATTCGATGCACAATTCATGGTTTCATTTACTTAAATCAAGGGACATATCAAGTATAATAAAAGGGTTAAGGCACAAAAGTACTCGTGAACTATATGATGTCATGTTACTTGTCCAAGGGTTCCTAATATAGAGGGTGTTTGGGGCTGCGTTTAAAAACTGCTTATGAGCTTTTGCTTCATTAAAATACTATTTTTTTCGTGTTTGCCAATCTTCTTTAGTTTATAGATTATGACTTATGCAGTCTAAAATGGGCTCCAAAAGTGCTTTTAAGCAAAGTTAGAAATTTCTAGTTTCCGCTTCTACTTAAAACTTGTACTTTTTCAACAATTTACCACACTCCCAAACACCCTCTTAGTATAATGTCCTCTCTGAATTGCTTTTGGTGATGCATGTGGCAGACACCCGGAGTGTGGGACCCACAAATATCAGCTGCTCGGGGTGGTGGAACATTCCGGGACAATGCGTGGAGGGCATTACGTTGCATATGTAAGAGGAGGCAGAAGCGGATGGAAAACCGAGAAAGGCGGAGAGTCGGTATGGTATTATGCGAGTGATGCTCACGTGAGCCAGGTTTCTTTGGAAGAAGTTCTTCGCTCCGAGGCATATATTCTGTTTTATGAAGAGATGTGAGATGAGTATTATACACCCAAGTTCTTTATTCATTGATTGTTTCTATAATTCTATCATTTACTTAGAGAGGGGTGTATACACACATTCAGTGTTTTTGCCCATTTTTGTCCAGAAATTTTGTTGTTTATTTAGCAATGAGCCTAAAGATGTATTATACCTGTAGAACTAGAAGTTGTTGAATATGAACACAAGTGAAAGAGCTTAATTTCTATTTTAATGCCATTCAAATTTTGGTTTGGACGGTTTTTTATTAATTAAAAATATTTTATGACATCACGTGTCATTCTATTACTACTTTTAATTGTTGATGCTCTAAAAAGCCAAATAAGCTCTTATCCATTTTTTTTCTCGAGTACTCTTTCTCATTTTTGTTAACTGCATAATTGTTCTTCATTAATTTCACTTTTGCTCCATCTCGATGCATTTTTAGTTTTTTTACTGCTTTGAAAAAATTTGTCTTTATTCACAGCAATATCGCTGAAAAATTTTGCTTCATCTTCACAATCGCAAATTTTTACATTCTCTCGGGTTCACACTTTTTTTTTATAAATCTGTGTATGAAAACTACTAGAAAATTGATTGCAAAAAAAATACTAGTATAAGTTGGCTCAGGCAGAAGTCATTAAGAGGGTGTATCTACGAGTTTTTTTGTTTGACATGTCAACTTCTGATTTTTGTCGCTACTATTTTGTGTATAGAACATTGTTTTAGAGAAGTAGATATACGATGTTTTTGCACTCAACTCTTGCATTTTCCTAAAATGATAGGAGTACTTAAAAAAATCGCTTTACATGGGAGTTATAATCACTTTGTTTTTCTTTTACAGGGAAACATTGTGATCAAACGCCTTTTGTTTGATCACACATTTCCCAGGTTGTCTTACAATGTAAATCTGGTCCCCACCACCAGCATTTCCGTACATGTCTTGGTTCCTATGCCATGTCCACAGCGCGTGCGTCTCATTCGTCACCTCCAATATCCCATGCCCAAAGCTGCTCTCTCTGTACGCGCTGAACTCGGGTTGTCGGTCCCAACAGAACTTGCCTGCAGCCGGACCGGACGTGAAGTTATAGGCGCAAAACCCGCCCACGAACTCGTCCGAGGTGGCCCGCGGGTCCGGGCAATTACCCGGTTCGTCTGCGTGGGAAATTGCCATCTTCTCTCTGTTCCCACCATCACCAATGGTTATGTATACAGGTCCACATGGATCCAAGCTGTAGTTGAACACTCTGTTTGACCTCTCATATGCATGAACCTGCAAAATAATATATGATCCGGGTTCTTTTTGGAAAGTCTTTCTATTACCTAATGGGAGAAAACGAATAGATTCTTATGAAATATCCCTAGATGCGAGTAAATTGTCATCAAAATATCAAAATAGGAGTGCATAGTTTTTATTCCCTAAATAAGAGTGTAAATGATGGTAGTGTGATGATAATATAGCAGTGTAAATAGTGGTAGACTGGTAGTGCAATGGTGGAGTATGGTGGCAATGTGGTGGTGGTGGACCACTAGTCAACGGTGGTCAATGCAGGCAACCGACGGAGGCGCTCCGATAGCAGTGTGGTGGTTGACCACCGGTCAACGATGCTCAACACTCGCCACCAGTGGTGGTGATCTGGCAACCCACGACGGTGCTCCAGTGGCAGTGTGGTGTGGCAGTATGCAGTGTGGGAGTGGCAATGTGAATTCCTATTTTGATATTTTTCAACTCTCTTTTACTCCTATTTAGGTATCGTGGATACTTACGTGGCCATTAAAGACTAGATCAACTCCAGCATTGTACAACAATTCCTCCATTGCCACCCTCATGCATTCAGCTTCCCTGTAATGGGCAGTGTAAGACGAGTACCAAGGCGCATGCCACGTGGCAACGAGCCAAGGTGTGATTTTCCGGTCCACCTTCGCCAGATCTCTCTCCAACCACTTGTATTGATCGTCTGAAACAAACAAACAAACAAGCGCATAAGCAATGGCAACCTGAAGCAGAAAAAAATTGTGGGAATTAAGAATGAGTGGTTGCGCAACAAACCTGTCTTGTTATAAGCAACATAAGAACCAAGCATCACAAAATGAATCCCTCCAGCATTGAAGGAGTAATAGAATGGAGATGAAGATTCACTTTCTTTGGAAGGGAAGGCGAATCGAGAACTATATGCCGCAAATGTCTTGTTTCCCACCTGTTTTTCAATCTCATGGTTTCCTTCCACTACCATCATTGGAACTCTAGACACCAATGGCTGCATATATCTGTCCAAAAACATATATATATTTCAGAATGGAATGGTTAAAATGAGTAATAAAGATTTGAAAACAAAAAAAGGATCAAGGAGAGAGAGTTTTTTTTACCTTCCCCAGTAATCCCAGCGCGGCTGGTACGTCTCGTGTATGGGACTATCAGGGAAAGAGCAAGAATAGCAATCGGAGCTGGTTCCATTGGTGAGATACAAATTAGCATAGCTCACATCTCCAACCAATATGACAAGATCAGCATCGTTTCTCATCAAATGGCTGATGGTTGATGTGGTGTTGTATGTTAGTCCAAGGTCTCCCACAAGAGCTATCCTTCTCGGATAATTCTGGGGACTAGAAATTGGCATCGTCTTGAAATGATAGACTTCGCTCGTAGCATTTAATGAAGGATCTCCGCATTGGTAATAGTACATTGTGTTTGGTTCCAATTCTGCAACAGATTATGTACGCTATAACAACAACAACAATAACGACAACAAACCCAGTAAAACCCTACAAGTAGGTTACAGATCGGCACTAGCAATTGGACCCAAAGCATAGAAACTCCAAAAACAGACCCCAACATAAACTAAGAAATAAGGCCTAAAGGTCTACACAACTACTCTAGTCCTAGATCTCCAAACGTTCCTATCGAAGGTCGTATCGTGTCCTATCCAAGGCTGTATAAAAAAAACAAACCAATGTAGAAATAATGAGAGAAGAAAAATGAATGAATATATACCTGTGAGTTGGACATGGTGTATGATCCCAGAGGTGTAGTTCTGAAGGCCAACAAAGGGATAGAGTTGGCTGTAAATAAGGGATTGGCCTGTGGCATTGTGATCCAAATTGAACTTTTCTTTTCCATATTGAACAAAACTTGCAACAGTGCTTGGATCATATGGTTTGATGTTTTCACCAATTTGAAACTCTCCTGTATTACAAGGTCAATATGGCATTGTACAAAGAAAGGTATTTTTTTTCAGAAAAAGAAAAGGTTTTCAAAAAAAAGTACTATGATGATACCATACCTGTGACCCAAGAAACCCAAATGGAATGATGAGCAAAAGAGAGGGAAAGAGAGATTTGCTCAGGCTCCCAACCTGTGACAGTCCTCTGAACTCTGGGGTCATTGTCCGGCAAATCAATGGCATGCCCTCTACCTGTTTGATCCAATGCCACAGTGACTGGCTTAAAATGCCCTTCCGCAGTGCTTGGAATTCCATCACTCCTCACGGCGGCCAAGCTCATCACCGCCGCCGCCACCACCACCACCACAACGGCAACTTCTGGCGCTGTAATTGAATGCATGACTGATCGTCTCCAGAAATTGAGCCTCTAAATTACACTGCTTATATAGTTGAAGTCCGACCCACATTTCAAGAACGTAAAGAGATGGTGTAGAACAAGTGGTGGAGTCTTAATCTCCCTTTGCTTGTTGAGAGAAACAGAGGGAGCCCATTTCGCCATGATGGTAATGATAAAGACTTCTTTTTTTATATATAAACAAATAAAACAAGAAGAAGATGATGATGATGAAAAAAGTACAGGGATCGTTGGATTCGTTGGTGCGATTAGGCCAAGAAGTGGGTATTGGCAGTTGCGTCCAAGGTGAAATTCGTTTTTTGTGTGATCTTCCCTTGCACGGAACAATTTCAATTCATATTTCTGAAGTTCAATGAATTAAGTAGTCTCTGTCTCTCCCTAATTGTATGTTTTGATTTTTTTTCGATCTACCATTTTCAATTTTTGACTTATAAATAAATAAAATATATATTGTATATTAATTAAATAAAATAGTATTTTGAAAATACTTGATATATTAAATCTAAAAAAACTATTTTGGTATCAATATATAGTATAATTTTTATTTAATTTAAAGTCAAAATTTACCAATTCTTGCCAAAAAATAGTAAAAATAGATAAATACTCAGGGACGGATGGAATAGTAATTTTCATTCATATTTTTGAAATGTTCTTGGATTACATACAAAGCCAAGAATTTGTCAAGGAATCGATTCATTGTGGTTGTGACCTTGTAAAGATTTTTTATATTCTAACACGTCTCCTTTATGTGCATGTGTAATTTTTTTTCGAGCCTTGCACGTGAAGCCTTGAATATTTTAAAATTATGTGGCGCTAAGTAAGTTTCTTGACATGGTATCAAAGTCTTGTTGGCAAAAAGGTCACGAAATCGAAATTCACCGTCACCCAATTTTTTTAAAAAAATAAAATTTCATGTGTGGCAGCAAAATATTGATGCTCCTGTAAGAAGATGCGAGAGGCTTACTCAGTAGAGTAGTAGGTGGGAATATGAGAAGAGGTAGACCTAAGAAGACCTGAAAGTAAGTGATTTGGAATGAACGAATGACCTAGTCTTCTTGCCCTTAGTGAGGATGTGACTTTACATAGGAGTATTTGGAGAATTAGAATTAGAGTATTGGATAGGCGTTTTAAGCTAAAAGGAGTTTTATGTTTTCTGTTTGCATTACTTTTCCTTTATTACCTTTAGTTCATTTTTTGTCTCTCTGTGTTTTAAATTTTATCTATGCTTTCTTTAATTTACTTTATGTATCTCATGCAATTTTTTTATCTATGCATCCGAGTCGGAAGTCTTTTGGAAACAACCTCTCTACTTTCAATTAAGGACAATGTCCGACTTTATATGCAAGTAGTTGATTTTACCAATACTCTATCTATTGTTTTTGGCCCATCGAAATTTTGACAGAGCTAATATTCATACTTTTTAAAATCATTGATTTTTTGTATATTAGTTTTGATGTATTTATATAATCGATAGATTTTTTATTTATATAAAAGAATTTGTGATATTAAAGAAACAAAAACATATGATCTTAAAATTAAGAGCAAATTTCTTAATAAATATAACAACCGAACCAAATAAAAAGAAAAAATATATTTAAAAAAATTGGGACAGAGAAGATTATTTAGGTCAATAGCATTTTGCACTCTCAAAATAAAGTAAATGATCAAAATGCACTCCCGGTTATTAAAAAAAAGTTAAATTGCACTTTTGAAAGTTTAATATTGTTTCATTTGCCTCCTCTTTCAATTTTTAACTTAAAAGTAAATATAACTCTTAAAGAAAAAAATCTGTTTTTTGTATAACCAAAATTGGCTACTTACTCTTTGTTTTTTTGATTTTCTTTTTTTGATGTTTTAGTTTTTTAAAGGAAAAAATCAGTCTGCCTCTTAATGATTTTTTAAAATTCAGATTCGACCAAAATTATATATTTTAAAAACTGAAATTTGAATATAAATTTAGGCTAAATTGACTTCAGGCTAAGAATTTAAATTTAGGCTAATTCAAAATAGAGCTTTATTGCAAAAACAATACATCTTTCTAATTTGAAATTCAAATATTGAATTTCAAAAAGTCACTTGATAAATCACTGCAATATTTTGTGTTTACAACTTGTGTACTCTCATCCCATCTTCATCAATGTATGGCTTCATCCTAAAATCTAAATTATAGGAGCAAAACCCATCAAGCAGATAATTATAATTCTCCACAGCCCCAAAATCTTGATGCATAAATAAGGGGTTACAATATGGCATCAAATCAATTAGAGCACATACAGTTCTCGTTCGTAAATTAATGGTCCTATTCTCGATCATAATGTTTCTTTAATTTTTGTTGACTTTGAAATTAATTTTGATTCTAAAATCAACAAAATTTAGAAGTGTAATTAGAGAAAGTACACTAAGACCCGACCAAGGGATGGATTTACCTTTGCTTTATAAATCATTAATTTTATGAATAGAATATTATAAAAATTTGGATTAGACACTCTCAATCAAGCCACAAACAGAACAAAATAGACCAAATAAATGCCGTATCCCTTTGACATTGGCTCAATCTTATGGCGTCACCCTTGACACATTTTTTTAATATTTTATCTGTTTATTACTCATTATAAAACAAATATTGATACGAATATTTTATTTTATCAATTAAGCAATAAAAATACATAAATAAAAGTTGATATTATTTAGATAGTGCAAATTATAATCAATTGTGGGACAGAGAGAATCCTTTATTATAATAAAGGAGACTCGGATGCACGAGAATGCGACATTTGGCACGCCTATTTGGCAAAAAATGGAACACATCAGCAAGCCACGTAATCTTTATATAAAAAAAGAAGAGTCATGGGACTTTTTTTAACACATCAAAATATTTATTGTCGAGCTTGACAATAATTTCTCGACAATAATTTTTAGAAAAAAGAAAAAATTGAACAGAAATAGATGATTAGTTAATTTACAATAAATTTTTTTCAGTGCAAATTTTAACTTAGTGCAGATTTAAAAAAGTAAATTTTTTTAAAGAAGAGAGTAAAATTTTAATAATGATAAGTTTATGTTTAAAACTATTTTAATGCAAACAGAATATTTTTAGATTAGCCAAATATATAAATATAATCCACACAAAAAATTTAAGAAAAATATACAATTTTTTATCTTTTCTTTTATGTACAAAATGAGACTCGGGTAACACGTGACTTACTAAGTCAAAATAGACAATTATTTATGGTTCAAAATTAAATTCTATTGTTTTCAATTATCTATTATGATATGATATTTTTAATTAAAAAGTAGAGTAAAATTCAACAACAAGTGTGTCGCCACGACATATTATGTCTAGACAAACATTCTTTACGATTTTAGCATTATTGAGTTAATTTAATTATGGAATAAAGGTCATCGCTTTAATTAGAATATATTAATAATTTTATATTTTTTTAATTCATTTATAATAAGTTTTTTAGTGAATAAATAAAATATCCTTCCTTAATAAAAGATATTTTCTTAACCTCTAAAAATTCATATTTGTTTATGACATGCTTAAATGAATGTAGTTTTTATTATTTACAATAAAAAACCAAAAATATATATCTTAATCTTTATATTAAAATACTAAAAATGACTAGAGTTTTTTAAACAATCAAATATTAAAATAAATGTATTTATAAAAAAACTATAAAATGTTTTTGTTAATTTTATTCAGAATCACAAGATTACCAATACTTTTTCATATTTATTTTTTGGAGTATAATAATTGGATTTTCAATGATATTTTAAATTTATTTTTTTGAATCATAGTATTGTTAATGAAAGATTTTGTTTTTTGAATAATGCAAGAAGAGAATAATCATACATAGTATTTTTTAATCATTGTGAGTGAGGAGAATCATCTTGATGCGGGAGAGTATTTATTTCGCTAACCAAAATTAATATGGAGATGCGGGATAAAAGAATCGTAATTTTTAAATTATAAGCTCGACTTTCCACTTTTTTTAAATACAAGGGGGTAAAAAAATCAAATTTTCTAAAAATCAATAAAAGAAAGAAGAATTATATTAATGCGGATAGATGAATCATTTTTTTCTAATCTAAACTAATGCGAGAGTGGGGGATCTGTTTTTGCATCAAAGGCGGTTGTATAAAAGTTGAATTCATGAATGAGAATAAATATTTAGGAATCTTAGGCCACAAAATAATTTTAATTTGAAGAAAGATGTAGTCATTATGTTATTTGGGAACACTAACTAACCATTTGAATTATGTAATAGTATAAGATTAAACTGCACAAAAATTTCTCCACCACAATTCTAATATTAGAAACAAAGTCGTAGAGAAGGTTACACAACCTAAGTGAATTATATGTTCGTTTCATATAGGATTGCTCTTGAAGTTTCAAAAAATAGAATTATTCTAAAAATTTATGGTTCGTTATGATTATAATTAAAAGTTAATGCCAAATATTGTCAATTATAAGATTATATTTTATCAAGTCAACATTCGCTAATGGTTAATTTAATATTGATGTTATACAAATTGATCTCTCACAAGTGACAATAAAATAAAGTAGAATTGAATGTATTTGTTTTAGATACCTTTAGTAGTCTTTATAACATGGGGCGGTTCCGGTGACATGAATCCCTCATGTTATCCTATGACATGAGCCCCGATTAGGGCATATACGATGTTTCTTTCGAAAAATTTATGGTTCCTACCCCCCTAACCTTCTCGGTAAATCCCCCACCTTCGGCCCGACCCAAACACTACCCATGCACCCCCGTCAATTGCATGCCACAACATTTAGTTGACTTAGGAGTCGAATTTTGACTCCAAAGTCAACTAAATCTTGTGGTATCCAATTGACAGGGCCGCAGGGGTATGTTCGGGCTGGGCCGAAGGGGCTTTATCGGTGGGGCTAGGAGGGTAGGAACCACAAATTTTTCGAACGGAATATCGTATGAACCTCGAATTATCCTATGACATTGAATCTCGATGTCATGGGAACATAAGTTATAACATTATACAAAATTATTGTATACCTCAAAACATTCCAAATTATTTTAATTTAGCTAAAAGTTTGACATATTAATTTTCAAATGTATATATAGTAAAATTATCATTAGCAAATGTTATATGCTTTATCATTATTTTAATTTTTATGTTCAATCTTTTATTTTTTTCAATTGTTGAAAAATGTTGCTGTAAATTAAAGAACAATTACAAATTCGTTTCAAAAAAATAATTTAATCCCATGCATAGCACGGGTCAAAATACTAGCATTGGTGACACAATTTCCAAAATCTGGTCAATTGTAGGTGACATGAAAATTAGCAATTTCTAGAGTACTTTTTCAATTTTATGTATAACAATTTTTTATTACAAAACATTAATAATTGCAATATTATTTATACTACTGTGATGGTAATGTCTACTATACTAGATAGTCGTGTTAGAAATGTATTTTCTTTGATCTGAAAGAATATTACATTGAAAAAATTATTTGAACCGATAAAAATTTCGTTCGACCCTCAAAATACTAGTATATACTATGGCCAGCTCTACTACCGTACTTAGGGGTGAGTATGGTACGGTATTTAGCCCGTACCGATACCGTACTGATCCCGATCCCGACATATCGGTTCGGTATGGTTCGGGATGGTTCGGTATCGGTTTCGGTACAAATCGGGATGAATATACATACCTACTTTACACCTTAAAGTTTAACAGTGTCCCCTTATTTTTGAAAATTAAAAGTGAATTTAAATAAAAAAACGTGAAAAATTAAAAAAATGAATATTTAAATGCAAGGGATGCATATCAAAACATAGTTTATATTTCACAAACTAAAAAAATGAACGACAACAAAGGGTTTTTCGAATCTTTGTGAATACTTTTATGTTTATACACAAAAAGTAAAACTCAAATAAAAGTATAACTTACACGTGATAAAACTTGAACCAATATTTTTTAAAAAAATTACTCCGTATTATTTAGTGAAGGAATATGAAAAATATTACTCCGGGTTATTATTTTTTATAATATTTTAGTATATATGTTCGGTTCGGGATTTTCGGTATGGTACGTCACCTCGTACCGTTCCCAAATACTGTACCGACCATTCGGTTCGGTACGGTTCGGTTTCTTCTCGGTACTTTTTCGGTTCGGTATTCTCGATTTTTTCGGGAAATTTCGGTATCGATTCGGTACTTGCTCACCCCTAACCGTACTCATATCGATCTTGACTTTGGAGTTTAAAAATAAAAGAACGAGAGAAAAGTTTTGGACACCTAACGCTATTGGTCCCACCGCCCCACGACAATGGCTACTTCGCCTCTTCTATCACCTTCCTCTAAATCGAATTTGGTCAGATTCCTTCGCCAACCGCTAGGTAAACATTCCTTTGGTTTTCCAGTTTTTGCTGCATTATTTTCGGTAGGGATAGCTCAGTCCAGAGGTTATCCTACTGAGTATGAGATTTTTTTAAGTAGCTAAGCAATCCTTACCTGTTTATCCCATAATACAATAATTATGCGCTAACCCCAGGTCTGTACTTTCTTTTCTGCGCAGTTCTGTACTTTCTTGATTTAGAGTAATTTTATAATTATTAATTGATTAATAAACTTTTGTTATTACTTACCTGTGACCATTAGGTGATTTAAATTTAACAGTATTTGCAATTACGGAGTATCACCTTCACTGATTTGTGACCATTAGGTGATTATAGTGTTGTGTGTGTGCCCAAAGTTTTGAGGAGTAATGACTCACATTCTTCATCAAATAAATATTCTACTACATTCAATTGTAGATTTAGAAGTCATTTCATCAAAGCACACTTAGCAGTATTCGTGAAGCATGAATAGTAGTAATTTCAGTGTGCCTATTTGACTTTTCCAAATTAGTCTTTAAAGAAAGATAAAAGAATGAAATATGGCCAAAAGTATTCATCCATAATAAGTGCTAACACTTATATATAATTTCCCTAGGAAAGATTGAGGACAAAATCATGTGTTACCTAAAATATAACAAGACATTTGCATTTCAACTTTAAAAAGAGGATTAAACTTTGAAGAGTATTTGGATCCTGTAGAAGGAAATAATTGAATTGAAATCAGGTTTTAAAACAATAATAATGAACAGAGGCATAGCCTAAAAGTATGTGTTCTATACCTTGTTTATGTGTGTGTGGCCATACCTTTGGAAGTTATTAATGAGATGGAGATAATGAATGTACAGAAATATATAAAATATTATACAAAAGGAGTGATGTAAGCTTACACTGGCTGTTATAAAATCTGTGACCATTGGGTGTTCAAAGAATAGCTTTGTTCACTTGTAATTACAATTCTTCACTCTTACTACATATCTGAATCATTTAAATTAATTCTGTATATTTGGATTATGATATTACTCCAGTCGTGATTAAGCTTGTGTGGTTTTTATATTTTTTGAGTAGTTTTGTCTTCTTCGTATGCTTTCATGTGCCAAAACAGACAGTCCAAACAGTCAAATGTTTTCATTAAGTCATAAGATTAGGTTGAGGTCATTGGTGAGCACTAGAGTCACTTCCAAAGCAGGGTCTAATTAGGAAAGAAATGCCAATGCCACAACAGCACAAATCAGTTTGGATTGATTACCAATTCCTTGAGGCAAAACATCTCTCTCCACTCATGTGATTAATTGAACCAGTAAGCTGGTCCATTTCAAGCGTGTCCTACATTACAAGTCTTCCCAAGTCATAAAAATGTTGTTTTAGAAAAGTTCAGGCACCCCCACCTCTGTTGGTTTACTCCAACCCTTAGGGTCTGTTTGGAAGTTGGGTTTTGGAAAAGTGATCTAATTGAGGCTTAGGTTCTGTTTGGAGGTTAGGTTTTGGAGACCATCAGAGGGGAGTGTGGTTCACACTTCACAGAGCTTAGTTGTATACTTAGGCCTTAGATTATAAGGCCCTTATACATTTTGTTCCTCCCTTTGAAAAAAAAATCAGCAAGATAAAAAAATCCTAGGTTTTGAAAACTTGACAGCCATTTAGTATTCCCGGTGAAGCAGTGACTCTTCCATGAAAGCCCTTAATTAAGGGATCAAGACAGCTTAGGGAGGCACAGCCCCCTTGGTTCGGCTCATAATCTATTCCAAAACCTGCTCCTTATGGTCCGGTTTCTTCTTTAAAATCAGCTTGAAGATCACATTTTTTTACAAAAGTTAGTCACTAATATTTCACTTTTCCCCTGAAAATCAATGCAATGCAAACTCAGATTTCTTTTAAAAATAACCTCTACAAGTTCTGTTTTGTCGTAGAAAGTAACCTCAAAATCAGACCTATATTTGAAAATAAGCCCTTAAAGTACCAAATTTCTCATGAAAGTCAGCCCTGAAAGTTTTGACACCAGCGCCTAAAACCTTTGTGTAAAAGTTTCACAGTGCCAATGAATCTGCAGCGACAGAGTCCTAACCAAACGAGCGAAGAGCGAGCCTCTACGAGCTATCTAAGAGCTATACTGATGCTTATAGGTTAAATAAGCTCAATCAAATCCTTATCAGTTGAGTCACTTCATACCTCATTACTTCCTATTTAATGATATGATTCTCATCAATTGGTTAAAGCAAGCTGAGAAGGAAGAAGTGGCGCTGCCCCCTTGGAACCCCCGATGTAACGGGATATTTATCGTAACAAACTCAATGAAGCGTGCACTCCGCACCACCAAACTTCATTGATGATTATTAGGATACCATTGGTCGTAGTTTTTCCAATTACACTAAAATATATAACATTCACTGTCACATCTTGAAATGTACACATTGGACTCGTTTGAGCCGCTATCCTCATTCAGATACCTACTATTTGTAATGGCTAGAGAGATTGAACATGTAGAGAGAAAGAACATGTGTAATAGGCGCTTCGTATTATATTTTTTAGAAGTATTTACATGTTTATGTCCAAAACATACACTGTAAAACTATGAATAATAATCTGTGGTTTTCCTAACTGAATTCTACAAAAGACCTTCCCAGTCATTTCGTGCAATGAGAACACTGAAATAGCTGAGTATTTTCAATCATGTTTCTTTCTTTTAGCTTTTCATAATTACTGCCATAGTATCTCATGAGCCATGATATTTTCGTGCTTCATTACTGTTACTTAACCTCAACGACCCATAGTGCAGATGCAAACCTATCACTTTGACGATGTGGGACAACTTCACATTCGTGCAAGGCTTGAAAATCAAAAAGGCACTCCAATCTAGCATTTATCCAATACTTTTTGCGAGGCGGATATCAGCAACCTCTTTCCAAGGTAAATAGATACCATTAGTAACATAACACAGTATACCCAATACCTACAGAATTTATGCCTGATGAACTTAAACATAATCATACAAGTAGGGCTATCATTAACAACACGGTACGATTCATCCATCGACCTGAACCCAAGCATCTCCCCTACATCAACTCTACAAGAATGGTAAAGCATAATTTCTTCTTCTAATCATTCATAACCTTTGTTCAAATATTTTATTCATTGAACAACCGTCATACAGGAGGTCTTCAAATACTGTCGCTATACACAACGCCCTCCGAACAAAGGAATTCCAAGATCCCCTGTCTCTTTTTGCAAACCCTAAAGACATTCAAACAACAACCATCTCTGAAGTTGCAGCTACAAAAAATGAGGTTCATGCTACAAATGACTAATACATACTTCCTCCGTCCCTAAATATTTGCCACACTTATATTCCCGAGGCAAAATATCAAATTTTTTCAATTCATTTTATTTACATATTGGTATAGAAATAAAAAATAAAATTTACATATCAAAAAACTACATGAAAAGTTCTTCGAAATAAGAGGTGTCAAGAATATTTTATTTTATCAAATAACTAATGAAAATGTAGAAATAAACAAAAGTTCCCGCAACGCTGAAAAAGCAAATGTTGCAAATAATTTGGGACGGAGGGAGTATATAAGTTCTTTTATACTCACATAAATTTACTAATTTACATACATACCTTATATCATATACAACTCTTTAATCTGTACATATACAAATATATTACATGAACACACAGGAGGACATCCATCTATTGGATTGAAGGCCAGGTACAAGTCTTGGAAAATGAGGCAATTACATTCTACATAGGTTGCAGCACCTGCAACTGAAAAGTGCACTTCAAAGAGGGAATCACTTTTAGATGCATGCAATGTGGCGACGCGGAAGCAATAACTACCCTATACAAAGATGTAACCACTTCCACTTTATAACTTTAGAAACTAAAAGTATTTTGTAACCTGTCGTCTCACTTAACGAAAACATTTCTTCCCACACTGTTAACAATCATTGCAGATTCCGAATATTGGCGGAAATAAGAGACGAGGATAGTGCTCTACAGTTCACCCTCTTCACCAATGCACTCTAAAAGATAGTTCGTGCACTGGAATTGAATACACCACTGGAGTTGATCCAATGTGTAGATTTGAACAAAGGTCTTGAATCGATGAAGGTAACAACTGCAGTCAAACTACCACCACGCACTGACCAAAGATGTGCACCAAAGAATTTCTCTCTTCTGTGCCTCTACGGCGCAGCCTCTCTCATGACCAAACAACCTTTCCGACCTTAAAGAGAAAGCTCAAAGCCGAAGAGGACTGCCCCAAAAAACAGCGTTGACAAGTTTTACATCGAGGTAGAGGCCCTTTTTGACTAAAGTGTTGATCCCTTCCACTTCTCTAAAATATAACTACCCCAATAACGTAGGAAAACTTGTGAATTGTGTAGTGTATAGCTAACCACCCCTCTTAGAATCTTAGTTCACTCCTTGTAAAAACACCCACCTGAAAACTAGGAAATACCTTCCAATTTTGTCACTACCCTTAAAACAATATATCATATGTAACAACCGTAAGCATCACTCCTTTTGTATAATATTTTATACTCCGTATATTTCTAGTACACTCATTATCTACATCTCATTGATAACTTCCAAAGGTATGGCCACACACACATAAACAAGGTATAGAACACACACGTTTAGGCTATGCCTCTGTTCATTATTATTGTTTTAAAACCTGATTTCAATTCAATTATTTCCTTCTACAGGATCCAAATACTCTTCAAAGTTTAATCCTCTTTTTAAAGTTGAAATGCAAATGTCTTGTTATATTTTAGGTAACACGTGATTTTGTCCTCAATCTTTCCTAGGGAAATTATATACTACGTATGTGTTAGCACCTATTATGGATGAATACTATTGGCCATATTTCATTCTTTTATCTTTCTTTAAAGACTAATTTGGAAAGCTCAAATAGGCACACTGAAATTACTACTATTCATGCTTCACAAATACTGCTAAGTGTGGCTTTTGATGAGATGACTTCTAAATATACAATTGAATGTGGTAAAATATTTATTTGATGATAAATGTGAGTCATTACTCTTCAAAACTTTGGGCACACACACACGGAGTGTGTCCCATGCTAGTATATACTCCCTCTGTCCATCATAGATCTTCCCAGACACTATTCACAGGGTCAAACTTTACTCACTTTGTTTGCTCATTTTTACTAATCATTTCATAAAATAATATAGTCTTGTCACCTCTAGTTTTGTAGAACTTTTCATTAGTTTATATCTATATAAATTTTATTTTAAAATTTACTATTATAATCAATTAAACTAAATTAAAAATAAAACTTATCCAAAAGGTTACTGGTTCGATTTTGGATTCCATCAGGAGGACAAACAAATGAGAAAGGACAGATGATTTCGGTTTTGAGTTCAAAGCTTCAAACTCAGCGATGAGTTTAGGAAAGGAATGCGAGAGAAGAGAGGAAGCATAATTGACGATAGAGAGGAATGTGAATTTACAAATTTTTCTACGTTTTTAACGGAAATAAATAATAACAAAGGACCATTCATGAAAAATAATTTAATAATTGGGGACTAAATTATTTATATTTGATATATAAGGACTAAATATGTAAAACAAACTATAAATATTTATTAAAAGACTTGGGACTAGAAAATAATAAGAGAAAAAAGTTATTAAAAGACTTGGGACTCGTATTTTGGTGGTCTCATAACTGTTAATTTTTATCTAGGATTCTAGGACTAGAAAATAATAAGAGAAAAAAAGTGTTTATATTTACTATTATTATATTAACACATGCCACTTACATTATCCTTTGGGAAAAAATTAAGTTTATTTAATTAAACTAAAATATTTTTATTATTGTTCATCACAAAAAAAAATTGAAAATTAGTATAAAAAATTCAAAAAATAATACTCCGTACTAGCAAGAAGTATTATTTTTATAAAGAAATTTAATCAAAATTAAAAATTTAAAATAACTCTCTCTGTCCTAAAAAATAGTTTACATTTGACTTTCATGGTCTCCTATATGACACATTTATCATAAATATATCTATATTTACACACTAATAATAATTTGTTTTATAAAATATGATATTTAGAAATTACATTCATAGAAAACTCAAATGATATCAAATTTATATAATTATTTTACTTATTCTCTTCCATTTTCAATCTCATGATGAATTTTTTTTTTCTTTTGACAAAAACAAAGCTCAAATAAAATCATTTTTTTAAACGAAAGGAGAACCCATTTAAAAAAGAAGTGATGTGAAGTGCTTGGTTATATGAGTCCACATGGCATCAATTCATTGGAGGAGGGATCCGTACCCTCCCAGGGGAGCCAAGGCACGGAAGAAAAATGCTTGGATATAAAGAGAGGTGTAGTGCAAAGTCCAAAAGCACCGCACCCACCCACCCTAGCAGAATCTTTCATCTTCTTCTCTCTTATTACTTGCACAATTAAACTACCTACCTACCATGGCTTCTGCAAGGAGAAGGAGGGGGGGAGACTACTCCTTTGCCACTGCGGCCCAGTTTCTCTTCCCCCTCCCTCCCTCTCCCCCCTTCAGCGTGGGAGGAGTTCACCAAGGCCGTGGAAGAGAACGGAAGGTTGAGGCTCTCCCTAGCTAGGTCGTCGTCAGGTGCTGCCTCTGGTTTTGCTCCTCGCTTCTCCCCCTCCGAGATGGAGTTTCTGCAGAGAGGCTCGTCGTCTGCTGCGAGCACGGGCATGGAGAATGCCGCCGCCGCCCTTTTAGGGGGGGACGGAGGTGGTGTTGGGGCGGCTTCTTCGTCTTCTTCGGCTCCTCCGGATCCCCACACCACCGTCCAGATGCTCGAGGGAGGCTCTTGAAACGTTGCACCAAGAAAATGAGGTGCTACGGCAATCCCTTGCAGCAAGTTCAAGGGACCACGAGGCCGGTGGCGGCGGCCAAAGTCGTCCGAGAGGTTCCCTTCGTAGTGAAAGTTCTTTTTTTTTATTTATTAATACTCTGCTGTTGAATCGATTATTTTGGTGTCTCAATGATTAATCTTTGATATTGGTATGGACATTATTGCCGCGGGTTAGGTTCTTGGTGGGCAAGAGTGTTGGGACGGGCTACAAATCGGAGCAGGAGCAGGAGCATGCTTGGGGGAGAAGCTGGCCGCCGCGAGGATGAAGCTGACGCAGACTCTATGCGACGGGAGTTTATTCCCATATACATTCCAGAAGAGAACAATGTGGAGAACAAAAACGGTATGTATTTATTAGTTGGTTTTGGTTTGTTTTTTTTTTTTTTGGTTTTGTTTTTGTTTTCACTGTGGGGTTTAAATGCTAAAAAAAATTGCTCCCTTGCAGGTCGTCGTCTTTCCTCAGTTCCAGAGATTCAGCGGGTGGTTGAGATGCCAAGAGACGAGGCGGCAACGGAAACGGATCGGAGCACCAAAATGGGGAAGAAAATGGGATCTCCCTTGAGGAACATGTGTGTAAAAATAACAAATAATGCTTTATAGCTTGAATGAATAGAAGAGGAATACAAAGTATATATTTATAGGTGGAGGAATATATTCTAGAATCCTCCACATTAATGACTAATTATATAAGGTAATATTATATAATAATAACTCTAACTATAATAGGTAACAACCATAATTATAATATATAATATTAAATATATTAAATAATTGATATATTTAACATGCTCCCAACGTCCTAAACGGTGAAAATTGAATGCCAACTTTACTTGAATCGTGACCATAATTGTAATCAAAAGCTAGAGGTATATCTTCGGCTAGAGTAGACTGAATGCATCCGGCCTAGAAGAGAAGAAGAAGAAAGATTGTCAGGAAAGAGATGTGAAGGTGTTGATGAGGAGAGGAGAAAAGTCGTTGCGAACAGACTCATGCTGCTGACGTCGAAAGAGAGAGAAGGTTGACGCGCGCTAGAGTTGTGCGCGACTGGGTTAGAGAAGAAACACAAGGAATGAGGTACTGCCAGAGATGCATGTTGACCGAAGATCTACCCACTAAGCAGGTTGAGGTGATGTTGGCCGAAATCTTTTCCGGATCGGCCTTTAAGTGACCCTCTGTAATAATATGTCCCAGATAAGTAATGGCCGGTGTGCAAAAAGAACACTTCGAGAACTTGACGTAGAAGTCATGGGACCCAAGCAACCCCAACGCCACTTCCAATTGTTTGACGTGATCCTCCAAGGAAGAGCTATAAACCAAAATGTCATCGAAATGATGAATTTCCGCAAGTAGGCTGAGAACAAGCGGTTCATGCAAGCTTGAAACGTCGATGGGGCGTTGGTTAGGCCGAACGGCATCACTCGGAACTCGAAATGACCCTCATGGGTGCGAAAGGCTGTTTTGTAAATGTCCCGGTCATGCATTCGGATCTGGTGATACCCCGATCGAAGATCCAACTTTGTGAAGACTCGAGCCCCGCCCAATTCGTCAAAGAGCTCATCCGCCGTGGGGATAGGAAAATGATCTCGGACCGTCACGGCATTCAAGGCGCGGTAGTCCACACAAAAGCGATAAGAACCATCCTTCTTTTTGACCAAGAGCACCGGCGAAGAGAATGGGCTACGACTCGGTTGGATGAGACCCTGGTCCAACATTTCCCTGACCAACCTTTCTATCTCGTTCTTCTGAAATTGCGGGTAGCGGTATGGTCTCACATTAACCGGATCAGACCCCGGTTGAAGGAAAATCCGATGGTCGGCCAGACGCCGAGGAGGCAGCCCACTGGGTATGCCAAACACTGCTTTGTACCGAGTGAGAACCCCTCGAATTGCTGCTGGCAGACCCTCTGGTAGCTGAAAATCTGAAGCAACAGTGGGCACCTCTTGCGCAGCTACTGTGATCTCGAAGCACGCGGCAATATCCCAATCGGCGTAAAGGGTATGAAAATGGTGAACCGAAACCGGCTTTGGTGTGGGAATGCTGCCGCACAAGGAAACTGGGGCCCCCTTCCATGAAAACTCCATCGTGAGTTTTGCGTAATCGTGAGTCACGCGTCCCAAAAGCTGCAACCATTGGACGCCAAGAACAATATCGGGCCCATGTATCGACAAAACGTACACATCAACTGGAAAAGTGGTACCTTGGAGCAGTAAGAGCAAATCCCGACATTGCGTGTTACAAAGCAGGGAAGCCCCATTTCCTACATATACGCGGAAGGCAGGGACGTCATGTACCGGGAGCTGCAATTTCTCGACGACGACGGGATGGATGAAATTGTGGGTACTACCCCCGTCAATCAAAACCTCAACCACTGCATCGGCGAGCATACCTGACAGCCGTAGGGAGCGCGGCGTAGACACCCCAGCCATGCTATTTAAAGAAGACACATCGGCGGTCAAAACTGTGTCATCCACGGCGGGCTGCTCGGGGGTGTCATCATCATCCTCAATGAGAAGGAGGAATCGGCCGCAACTGTGGCCCTTCGTCCACTTCTCGTCACAATTGTAGCACAACCCTTTCGAATCGCGCTCCAACTTCTCGACCCGTGAAAGACGCCGTATTGGTGGTTGTGGGAAGCTGGCAGCCGCAGGGGGTTTAGTCCCCGGCGTAGGCAGTAAGGGAGGGGCAGAATTGACCGGCCCAGGTTTCCCCCATGGAGTTGGTCGTTGCGGCAGTGAAGAGGCCCATGCAGCATGCTTCGCCTCTAATTCACGGGCCAAAGCAAATGACGCTGACAAGGACTCGGGTTTTTGCAACATCATCTCATGCTGAAGGTGGGACTTGAGGCCGGCATGAAATAAGGATTGAAGGTTCGCCTCCGCCACGCCTGTAACGTTGACCAAAACTTTCTCAAAAGCCTGTTGATAATCCAAAACCGAACCCGTTTTCCGAACCTTGGATAAGAGACCGAAGTAATCAACGTAGTTGAGAGGATCAAACCGGAGCTTGAATTTGGTGACGAAGTCGGTCCAAGTGGGCAGTAGGTTGTTGCGTTGCTTCCATCAGAACCAATCTAAGGCGGCGCCCTCGAGCATAAGGCAGACGGCGGACAGCCGTGATTCCTCCGGGATCGCGTAGAATGTAAAATATTCGTGTGCCTGGAAAAGCCAACCCAGCGGGTCAGTCCCGTCACACTTAGGCATATCAATCTTCAACCGCGATGTAGGATGACCCCCATGCAAGGCGTCTGGGCCACGCCCTCCCCCGCAATTGCCGGAGTCGTCCCCATGCTTCTCCACCCGTGCGAGTAAGCCGGAGATGTCACGCTGCACCTGTTGCACCGTGTGATTGAGCTGCTGCATGGCGGTGGTTTGAGCGGAGAATTGGTTCTCAATTTGCTACTGAAATTCCTCAAAGACTTCCGTGTTAACCGCGCCATTGGACATAATGAGAGCACCAATGATACGGTTGAGTATCGTTAAGGGGAGGATCGGAGCTCCTCCGGGCTGCCAAGAGTCTGGACAAAGGGAAGAAGTGAAGGGAATAGAAGGATGAGGAGAAACCAGCGGCAGGGCAGGGAAGAAAGAAAGAGAGAATAGGGTTAGGGTTTAATCTTTTTTTTTTGCTTCCCTTATGATAAATGGGTTAATCTCTATTTATAGGTAGAGAGCCCAAACCCTAATGACTACGTTATCTAACCTGACGGTTCAAAGAAAAGCGACGAGGTAAAGAACCGTAAAGAAACCCTCGAAGGAGCTTATAATTCGCTCACCTAGGAAAAATCTACGTTACACTTAAATAAGTAATAAAATAGAATTAATGCATAACAAAATCCGTTTGGCACCGCGGTCTATTCCGCATTCGTGCACTGCGCCTTGCCCCCACCAATGCCGTCGTTTCTTCGTGCTCTACGTCTTCATCTTGTGTGGTCAAGGCCGTATCAGAGCTCTGGTCGGAATCTGTAATAGAAATCACCTTAAATAGGACTAAAACATAAAGAAAAGTACCAAAATAGGACTTTCATGTTTTTTTTCTCGGAATAGGACTTTGCACTGTGGTAATGTGACTTTGCATTGTGGTAATGTGGCAGTGTACATGTGCAAATTACTATACTTTTTTGATAATGTATATGATCATCTTGGGTAATGTAAGTCCTATTTCGGAAATAAAAACATGGAAGTCCTATTTTAGTATATTTTCAATGTTTTAGTCCTAGTTTGGTCTTTCCCCATCTGTAACTCTGTGGACCTAGTGTTTTGGTTATAATAGGGAAAGAAATCGAAGGGATTATTAGCTACCCGAGGCTGGAAGCAACTACTCTAGAGACTTGGAGTTCTGGCTAGAATAAGCAAAAAGGTTGAGGAATTAGAGCTATGCAGTAAAGATTTTTGGGGAGAAATGAAAGCTGTTGAAGATTAAGAATTCTTAAGCTGTGTGATTTTTTTAGGGCATACAACACAACTATTAGGCTATATCAGTAAGACACTAACGGAGGTTACTGTCAACGAGGACAAATAAAGGAAAATTTTGACATGTACAACGTCTAAAGCATAAAAGTACAAATATATATGTACCAAGGGTACCAAACCCTCTATCCCATTTATATACTCTAGAGTATTATAGAAAGATTTGACAATTGACATGGTCTTCTAGATTTGTGACATGGGACATACTTTTTAGGCATTTTTTTGACATTTTAGCACGCAATTTCAGCAAGTAATATTTAAAGAATTAATTGACAAAAGAACTTATTCTATGGAAATTAAATTTCATATTTGTTACACATAATGACCAGAGATCACAAGACTCTCCATCCATCCTAAAATTAACTTCCTTATTTGATTTTTCGGGGCATCTAATGCAATACTTTGACCATTAATATCTCAATTTACATACAAATATACTTCCTCCGTCCTAAAACTTTCTTCCCACTTCTCTTTTTTCTCCGTCCTAAAACTACCTTCCCATTAGAAAAAAAAGATGACAAATGACATTTATACTATCATGTATGTATTTACACCAATTATCTTCTAACTCTATATTTTGAATGATTTTTAAAAAAAATTTGCAATTTTTTTTAAGGAGGGTAAAATTTGAAGTCAAAGCCAAAAATTAAAAATGAGGAAAAGTCAAACTGAGAAAAAAGTTTTAGGACGGAAGGAGTATATTATAAAAATAAAATATTTCAATACTATGTTTCAAAATGAAAGTGTAAAAATAACATTTTCTGGTACAATGTTTTTCTCTCTTTTTCATTTTCCCATCCAAACAAACTAAAAGAAATTACTCCCTCCATCTTTGAAATCTTTCTTATTTTGTCTTTCTTTGGTCAAAAAGTGATACTCTCTGATTATAAATTGTGTGAACAGTATATTTAATTATAATATAAATTTAAAATAATTAATGTAATATTATGATATAGTTTTGATATATACTACGTACAATTCTTATAACATTTATTTATATATATTATGATTAATTTATTATCAAATAATATCAATGTTTGACAAAAAAATATTTAAAGAATTGAAGGAGAAGTAGCGTAAAAAAAGGAGAACACCGCAAGAAAAAAAGAATAAAATTTGGAGAAAGTATTTTTATTCCATTAATTTATTTCCTTCCTATTTTACTTAAGGAAATTTTCCTTACCAAATACGGAGTATAAGGTCTACAAAGTTTACGTGGGTTCCCCTGGTAACTCGTTAAATAAATTGCTAAAGACGAAGAAATCACCGACTCCATCTCTGTCTCTATTTAATTTTCTCCTCCCCGGCCGCCGTGCAAGCCAAACGACCGTCGGGCGCCCCCATTCGGCAGTCGTCGGCCGGCCAGTCCCCTCCGGCCGGCCACCCGTTTTGTTTCTCATTGCATGCAGCTAGCCCGGCAGCCCTGATGGTGATTGAATGCCTTCCGCAGATTTCTCATCTTTTATGTTCTGTCTTCAATCTGCAGGATCCTCCAAGAAGAGGAAAAGGATCGATTATTGGTCAACTTCCAGACGACATCTTAATTGACATTCTCAGTAGGCTTCCTGCAGACACTATTTTACGATGTCGCCCAGTGTGTCGGGACTGGAGAAGTTTGACATTGTCGCGTTATTTCATCGGGGTGCAAGCTAAAAGAGCTCCTTCTGTTGTTCTTGTGCAAGGTATACAGTTGGAATTTCACAACAAATCTGATTATTATATTTATGATGCAGTTTCTAAAAAGTTGAGAAACATTCCTTTCAATCTTAACATCTATAAAGGGTTTTATATTCCATATGTTCGCGGTGCATGTGGTGGTCCGTTTCTTCATCTTAAAAGTTACGCAACGTTTTGGAACGATGGTGCGAATATGTTTTCCCGTCGAATCAGATGCGACTTTGTTTTCAACATCATCACTCAACAACGTCTAGGAGTTCGGTCTGGACCCCAAGTTTTTGTGTGTGGTTTTTACTTTCACAAGGCGACAAATGAATACAATTATCTGTGCATGCATCACGTTTCTGTCGAGGAGAGGTGTTTTCAGTATTTCTCATACAACCTCGTTTCGCGCACTTCGAAGAAAATTGCTTGTAGCCGTTTCTCTTGTAGGAAGGACCCAGACAACTATCCAGTTGCTTTAAACGGAGCACTCCATATGATGACGTGTGACGATTGCATGCATGCAGTGTTGGTATTCGAGATCGACTCGCGAGAACTCTACACTTTGCCCCATCCAGAAGAAGTTGAATGTGTTGATGGACAAGTCGTTAGTCATAAACTCATGTCTTTGTTTGTTCATGGTGGACACTTGGGTATGTGCCATGCGCGCGACCTAGGAGTGGGACGTTTCGACATATGGATTCTCGAGGATTATGCGAAATGGCGCTGGGTTCGAAAGTCCATGTTTACTCTTCAAAAGCCGAGGTTTGGCCTTGCTACTATGATGGACATGCTTGTGAGTGGTTGTTTCATGGTTTCGAGCGTGGGAAAGGACGAATTGTTTATAGATTGGTTTTCACGTTTCTTATTTGCTGTCAATGTGAAGGACCAAAGTATTAAAGAAATTAAAGTGCCACATAAATTGAAGTCGGCCAATATTCGTCGTTGTGCTGCTTACACCAGTAGTCTGGTGACTCCTCATCATGGTTGGTTAGGTTAATTAGGACCTCATGCCAAATCTGCAACATACACTTTCTTTGTCATTGGAGAGTTGTGATCTTCGAATTATTGTTACCACCAGGTCAGGAAAGCTGCTTCAAGAAAGTGGAAGTCATTCATTTTTAACGTAAGCATTCCTTTTTTTTTTTTTTGGAGATTTTAGGGAATTATTTTATGCGATATTTTTTATTGGTGCGGATGGAGTGTATAAACATTTTTCTCGGTCTTATGTGGTGTGCTTGCTTTTTAAGTTCAATGTTCAATCACACGATAAACTGTTAAACTCTAGAGCAATAAAGACATCATTAATACTCCCTCCCTCCGTTCTCAAAAACACTTCCTCTTTCATTTTTTCCACTTCTAACAAAACACTTCCCCTTTCTATTAAAAAATCACTTTTACCCTTACTTTTTCATACCATACCTATCACATCATACTTTTTCTCTAATAATCTATCCATCACATCTTACTTTTACTCATTACATCAGGGGCAAAATTGGAAATCAACTATAAATTTAACACTTCCTTATTTTTGCCCCAAAATCAAATGGGAAGACATCATTAATAATCAATAACAACAACCAACCTATTATATTCCCAAAGGTACAGTAAATTCCTGAAAGAACCCTAGAGTTGGTCCACTCTCATTGATCAGTAGCCATAATAAGACCATAAGTAATGATTGGGTGCCAAATGCTAAGGTGGATATGGTGCCTAATAAATGGCATTTAAACTTGAGGTGATAGAGGAAAAAAGGTTGGAATGTAGGTGGGAATGAAATAAGCACTAGGATACAATGGCGGTGAATGTGAATGGGATAATACACCGGTACTCATTTCTAATTTTCCATTTATTTTTGGTTTTTTCCCTTTTTCTCTATTTGTTTCTTTGTTCTATGAATGTTTCTTTAATTTTTTTAAAATTTATTTTTTATAATGTTTTTAAAATTTAAATTTGTTTTGTTTGAAATAAGATATAATTAACATGTATTGCATCTTTTTCAATGTTTGTTTTTTGAAATTAAAACCTATTTTTTGGAAACTTCAAAAAAAGAGGAATAAAATAAAAGAAAAAATTAAAATGAATATTGGTTTTTGAATCTCTCAATCCTAAGAACTTTTTTTCACGTTACCAAAATTCTTTTTATATAAGAGTATTTTTTGTATGTTTCAATTTTTATCATTTTGTTTTTCCATATTTTTAATTTTATTTTTTTATTCCAGATTTTCTTTTTTGAACTTTCCACTTTTTTTATTCTAGAAAACAAAAATTGAAAATTTTTATTTGAGATAGATGGAGTACATGTCAATTTTTTTATTTTTTTAATTTTATTCCAAACACAAACAGTTTTGAATGTTTTAAAACATTAAAAAAATACAATTAAAAAGAAATTAAAAAAACTCTTTTAAAAAAAGGAAACAAAGAGATGAAAAAAGACCTAATGTTTTTGAAGTAATAAATATCATTACTCGAAAATATCAAAGTTTAGAGCATCACAAATATCAGACATAGAGCGAGTGACCAGTGGCGGATCCGGGATTCAAAATTACTGGGGGCAATCTTGAAGAAAAAATATTCTCTCCATTTCAATTTAAGTTGTGTTTTTACCATTTACAAGATCAAACTTTAATCATTTTTTATTCATTTTCGTTGCTTATTTGATAAAATAACATAGTCATGTCACTTCTTATTTTTTACCTAGTAGTACGTTCGATGTTATTTTCAAATATATAAATTTTATTTTTTAATACTACCTCAATTGTCATATAAATTCATTTGAAAATAACTTTGTTCATGTAAACAACATGCAATTAAAAATGAGCCGAATGGAAAATAACCAATAGATAAAGAACAATAACATAATAAGAATGTACTATATGAAACAACAATGCAAATTTATCAGCACATGCATATAGTTACAAAATGATATAGTAAAATTTTGAATTCAAATGAAAGTAAATTAAAATTAAAATTGTCCCATGCGATTTTTTAATTCAAACCAAAAGTGCAGAAGAGTCTCATACCCACTCCGTAGAGGTTGTTTCGCCTCTTTGGCGAAGAAGCCGAAGAGGATTCAATATTAATTGTCTAGTCGAGGTAGAGAAGTATTGAATGGATATTTTTTATTGGCTTTTACATTAAAGGAGAGAGGGGGCAGCCAAAAAATTCTATGGGGGCATAAGTGTTATATTTTTAAAAAATGAGGGTACCAACAATGGAAATAAATATTTTTTTTGGAAATCACTGGGGGCAAGTGCCTCCATTGCTTTGAGCATGCATCCGCCAATGAGCGAGTCGCTCGTGCTTAAAAATACTCCCTTGTTATCCAGGGCATATTGCATGTCAAAAAATACCACATAATAAAGGAAAAGATACATATGATAGGGTCTCTAGCTGGAATCCTCATCATGGCATGGTGGCATAATACATTCCTGCACCACAACATAATTTCCCAATCAAGACGACAAAATCTTTAATCATTATTGTGCTCTTAAACAATGAAGGCCGATGAACAAACCGGATCCAATGAGGCTGTCATCTTTTTAAAAATCTGATTCTGTGCCTTTCTCATGTAAGGGGCCTTATGCTGAAAGTTCAAATATATGTATGGTTTTTCTATTAAGTGTAATTTAGTACATGCAAAAACCATAATGACCATCTTAACCTTTGTCAGTACCCTTAAGAAACACACTTTTGTGAAGGGAAGGAGTAAAATCAAAAACACATTCTTCTCAATTTCAAAACTAGTTTAGAAATAAACAGATTTATTAATAAAGAAATGCTTACGCCGATAAAGAATGACTTCCACTTTCTTGAAGCAGCTTTCTTCACCTGGTGGTATAATAATTTCAAATATCAAGATCCAAAATTGGTCTTGTGAAGGTTTTGTTTGAGACAAATATAACAAGATCTCACAAAAGACAATCAAATGAGAGTGTGCGAGTAATATAAAATTTTGACGATTGTGTTTATTGTGGAACTGAGTACAAACTAAGAGAGGTAATGCCACTTACCTTTGCATACTTCCATGTGGGGTTTTGCCTCCTCATTTCTTTCCTAAAGGGAATAAAAACACACTGTGAATAAGAAAGAAAGTTGACACCAAGTGGTGTCAAGAATGTATCCCTTGAAATGGTAAGTGAAGAATTAAATTTTGAAGGAGCGATGTACATACAAGAAGATACGGAAAGCAGTGGCAGCAAGCTCCCCCTTTTTTGGTTCATCGTATATGACCAGCGATTTTCTGAAAATGAACATGAACCTCATCATGCGATAGGCAAAATTTGACTACATTCTTAATGTGAACCATGATGCAGTATATACTTAAAACTTCCGTGAGAAACATCAAACATCATCTTGCTACATTGGCGGAGATCAAAGTTGACGAGACATACCGCTCAGGGGGCGGTGGTCTTGGGGGGGGATCAGGAAACAAGTGAGGATTTTCCTTACGAAAGGAAGAGATTTTTTCTAGCACGCCAACAACCTCGTTGCGCATCTTTTCGGCTATGATGATAACAACAATCAAATCTTTAAAACAAAACACACACACACACATGGGAAGTTCCAAGCAACGATTGCGTACCAGATTTATTGGGGTCATTGTCAACCTTGAATTCCTTTAGATGCAAATGTTTGTCTTGTGCGGAAAACAACACTTTTGCATTAAATATCTTTTCCCTACCATCAATAGTATCACAAGCTGTGAATGTCAAATAATACATGGTCCCTGCAACTGCTTGAATGTTAACTTTCAGAAGCTGTTTGTACTCCAAAGGTATTCCCTGACAACGTAAATACCAAAGGTTGTTCAATCCAAACCCTATAGATTCTTTGTTTTGATCCAAAGCACCTCATCTGTCTTACTAAAACGCTATAGAGTATATATATATATTCAGTTTTGATGGCCCAAAATGAATAACTCAAAAGTTGTATTTACCCCATCCTCAGCTTGTTTCAGAGCAGCAAATTGAGCAGCCAATTCAGCTGGTTCCCAGTCACAAGAGGTGGGTAAAACCGGGAAAATCCCTCCGGGTATCGAGCCAGAACAACCATCAACATCATATCCCTATGTACAAGGATATCACAAATAAAAAAAATATTCAAAAAATTGATGATTCTACAGAGAGAGACCTATATGCCTTGGTGAGATATCTTTATTGATGAATCCCAAGGTGTGACAAGTTTGATTGACTTATCACTATCAATTTATTGCGCCAAGAGCGGACATACTCCGTCCGGATTTGGTTGTCTACTTCTGCATTTTTGGAGTGTCCAGAATCACTACCGCTTATTTAGTAGTGGAACATGGAAGAAGTACCAACATTGCCCCTGAAACGAAGTACCATCTAAACAAAAACTTATTGTGTATGATGTTGGGGCAGAGTGTTATGATAGCGGGTCGAATTCATCAAAGTGCTTAACAACTGAGGTGTTAAGATAATTGTATACCGAAATCTGGACAGCAAAGTGCAGTATAAATCTGTCTTAAGACACTAAATTAATAAGAAACTATATGCATAGAGTATCAAGAATGCAACATAATGCAAGGTAATTACAGGGAATGCCAAAGACCAACCCCAGATTTGTTAACTTTTTTGTTGTACGCGGCATATTCAGACCGATTCATCACGCGATAACGCCTCAGGCGTCGGGGAAGGCTCGTAGCAGGTCCATACACGGTTTTTCTAATATGGCCTGCGACGCCATAATCAACGAATTCCTTATCATCACCCTCCACTTTTTCATCCATGACCCTAAACTTCATAATCAAATCGCAAATAAATAAGGGTTTTGAGCATTCAACTGTTCATCAAAAGTATGTATCCAACATTCAAAATCTTCAATCAATTGATTCAATCCCCAAAAATCACGGCATGCTTGGAGTTTGAAAAGGAGTAGTAAATAATTAAATAAGTAAATCCAGAAACATGTTTATGGTTCAATTTTGGGGGTGGTAAATGAACCCCAACAAAAAAGAAAAACAAACTCTCATAATTCTGCTTCATGTATCGATCATAGAGACAATAGATAATGTTTTGCCTGAAAATTTTTCATGGGGTTTGAAATTGAAGGCACCTGAAACAGTGACAGCCGGCGATCGATGGAGCCTATAGAAGAGAAATAGTGAAATACCAGTGGAAAAGGCCGAGAAGACGGCCGGAAGAGAATGAGGGTCGTTTGTAGTTTGTAGTGTGTGGTCGTTACTTTCACACGGGCCGGGCGGGCCGGATTGATATGTACTCTCCTGATTTTGAAATAATTATATGTTTCTATTATTTTTAAAAAGACAATAGAGGTTTTTACATTTTAAATTTTTATTGTAATTTCTGAGTGAGGACATTTCATCTCATACTTCATTTATAAGCATTAATAAATACATTTTTCCTATTTTGCCTTAACCATTTTATTAAATTGGAAAGTTAAATTGATACTTTTGTTTGGAAAGAAAACAAATTAGGAAGTATGTCTAGTTTTTGGAAAGAAAACAAATTAGGAGTAAAATAAGAGCTCACACTATCATTGTTACACTGTCACACTTATCACATTGTCAAACTGCAACTGCCACACTATCACTACTAAAATGCCATCGTCGCCACCAGCCACTAGTGTGTCACCGCCGATCGCTGACAAATGACTGATCACACTATGTAGTCTTACATCACACTACCATTATATTTCTATTTTCGTCTTAAAAAATTTAGGACTCCTATTTTAGTATTCACATACTTTTTTTACTCTTATCCAAAGAGATTTTTTTATTTTTAAACAAAAACCAAACTAGTCGAGATCTATTTAAAAAAGAATAAATTCTATAATTGGTTTTCCAAAATATATAATTTTTCATATTTCGTCCTCTATTACCAAATATTACATTTGTGGTCTTTTTTTATGGGGACTTTTCCACGAATAGTCTTTTTTGGCTTTTCGCTATGTCAATGTTAAATTGAGGGCTAAAAGCGTAATTTTACATCAACTATAGGTCCGGCCATGTATTTTCTGGTGTTGTCTTGACGGATAACACAAGAACAATGACTATATTTCGACAAGGATTTCGACTAGAGAAAAACAACTATGGACTATATTTGCGGTGGGTGGCGACTCTAGCGGACAATCGACACATCAGGAATGATATATTGCATTGGTTATGGGAAGAATGATGTAAGATCCATGTGAAATTATGCTTTTACCCTTTAATTTAATACCAATATAATTGAATGTCTAAAAAAGAGTATTCGTAAAATGGTACCAACAAAAAGACTACACATATAATATTTGGTATTAGAAAACTAAATATGAAAAACTTTCTATTTTAAAGGATTAATTATAATTTTTCAAAAGAAAAGAATTAATTATAAAATTTACTCAAGAAAATTAGACTGATTTCATCCTAATTCTTTGTTTTTTTTGCTTTTTCGTTTCTTCCCTCTCTTCTTTCTCCTGTTTGTTGCTTCTTTTTTTTATTTTCTTTCTTTATTTTGTTACTTCTTTTCCTTTTTTAGTTTTAAATTGTTTTTCGAATTTTCAATTTTGATTTTTTGAATTTTTTTCATTTTTCTTTTTTAAATTTATTTTTTGTTTTTATTTTGAGTTTTTGTAAATTTGTCTTATTTGATTGTATTTTATACTTTAGTTTAATTATTTTAATTAAAATAAATGTTAAAACAAGTTTTTCAATTGTGTACATTATTTATTTAATGTATCAATTTTATACTACCTCCGTCCCAAAGTATTTGTATAGTTTGACTTTTCAAGTCAAATTGGACGAAGTTTAAGTCTTAATTAAGTAAAAATTATACATAGTATTTCGTAATGTATATCAGTATAAAAATGATTTTTATATATTTAACTTGTTTAGAACTTTTAAAAATTTATTCCATTGTATTAAATTGCAATACAAAGTAAAAGTTATTAATGATTAAAGTTTGTCCAGTTTGACTCGAACAAAACAAACAGTACAAATACTTTGAAATGGAGAAAATATTACTTTTAATTTAATCTTAATGGATCACTTTTAATTAATCAGTTTAAGAGGGGAAAACCTGAGGGCAGGCACGGAAAACACCATACAACTTTGACGCGTAGCAGAGGACAAAGAACATCGTCTTCGAGGCTACGTACCATAGGGGCTCCCCGATCCTAAATCGGCAGTCTCCACCGTCTTTGTTTTATGCGATTTCTTTATTTCGTATGTGTTTATTTTCATATTTTAACTTCCAATCGTAATTAGGGTTTTCAGATTTAGATAACCTGCTTTTTCCAGTATTATATGCGAAGTTAGGAGATGTTATTTTGTTGGGTGGCATTGAGGATTGACGAAACCCTAAATAAGTTTCTGGATTTACTTATTTATTTATTTGCTATCTTCTTCAAACTACAAGCATATCGTAATATTTGGGGATTGAATCAATCGATTGAAGTTTTGAATGGTAGATGAATACTTTTGATGGATAATTGAATATCAACAACACTTATTTATTTGCGATTTGATTATGAAATTGTAGGGTCATGGATGAAAATGTGGAGGATAATAATAAGAATCTTGATGGACCTGCAAAAAGCATTCCCCGGGGAAGCGTTATTGTGTGATGAATCGATCTGAATATACCGCCAAGGGAAAAAAAGCTGGCAAATCTGGGGTTGATCTTTGCCATTCCTTTAATTACCATGCATTATATTGCATTCTTGATACTATATATGCATTTAATGTCTTGTTAATTATGTATTTTTGATTTCAAACGAGGCCAAACTGTGGTGCACTACATTTTTAATATTATACTACACTTTGCTGTCCGGATTTTGTTATGATATTATCTTAACACCTCAAATGTAAAGCATTTTGATGAACTCAACACGCTATCATAACACTCTCCCCCAACATCATACACAACATGTTTTTGGTTTGAATGTTACTTGATTTCAAGGATATTGTTGGCACTTCTTCCATGTTCAACTACTAAAAAAGTGGGAGTGATTCTGGACACTCCAAAATGCAAAAGTAGATGCCAAATCCGGACGGAGTATGTTTTTCCCTGGCGCAATCAATTTATAGTTATAAGTCAATCAAGATGGTCACACCTTGGGTTTCATAAAAAAAATATATCTCACCAAGACATATAGGTCTCTCTCTGTAGAGTCGTCATTTTTTGATATTTTTTTAAATTTGTGATACTCCTGTATACAGGGAAATTATGGTGATGGTTGTTATAGCAATGTACCTGGAGGAATTTTCCCGGTTCGGCCCACGTCATGTGAATGGAAACCAGCTGAAAAGGTCGCTCAATTTGCTGCCCTGAAACAGGCCGAGAATGGGGTAAATGCAATTTTTGTGTTGTTAGGAACATATATAACCTATATTGTTCTAATAATATAGATGAAGTGATTTGGTTCAAAACAAATAAAAGAAGAACGTGTAGAGTTTTGATTGAACAACCATTTGTATTGAAAATAGAGATGTTCCAAATTAACTATGTAGTATTACTTTGAATGTCAAATGAAAAATGCTAGTTATTTTGTTTCAAACAAGTTCTATGTTAATTAACTATAGAATAACTTAGCTAGTTTTTTTCATCCGTGTGGTTCATTGAGCTCTATTCGAATTTATGTTATTAGGGAATACCTCTGGAGTACAGACAGCTTGTGAAAGTTAACATGCAGGGAGTTGGCGGGATAATGTATTATTTGACATTCACAGCCTGTGATACTACTGATGGTAGGGAAAAAATATTTAAAGCAAAAGTGATGTGTGATGCACGAGACTTAAGTTTACATCTAAAGGAATTCAAGGTTGACAATGACCCCAATAAATCTGGTACACAGTCATTGCTTGGGATTTCTCATGTCTCTCTGTGTCTGTGTTTTAAAATTTGATCGTTGTTGTTATCATCATAGCTGAAAAGATGCGCAACGAGGTGGTTGACGTGCTAGAAAAAATTGCTGCCTTTCGCAAGGAAAATCCTCATTTGTTTCCTGTTCTCCCCCCAAGACCCCCGCCACCTAATCGTAGTGGTCAGATGTATGTATTGTCAAATTCGATATCCGCCAATTTAATACCGCACATGTTTTCAAAATCCAAAAAAAAGAGTGGACTTAGAGAGGGACCATTGTTTTACTTTGTATGCTTTCAATTTAGTTGTTTCTGTGTTCATTTTCAGAAAAATGCTGGGTGTACACCTTACACCAAAAAAGGGGTGATTCGTGCCATTGCTTTCCGTATATTCTTGTATGTATATCATTCCTTTAAAATTTAATTGCTTGCTTATCATTTCAAGTGAAACAATCTCGACAACACTATGTATAAAATCCTTTTTTTTATAATTTGATCTCAATCCATCTTCTAGGAAAGAAATGAGGACTCAAAACCCCACATGGAAGTATGCGAAGGTTAGTGGTGTTACCTCCTTTGATATATACTCAGTTCCTCAATAATCACAATGATCATAATTTTACACTACTCACATGCTCCCATCTGATCATCTATACGCAAGTAAAAATATGTGGGATCTTTTTAGATTCATCTCGAACAAAAAATTCACAAGATCAATTTTTGAAGCGAAGAAGTACTTTGTTGCTTTCTTGTTGTTTTGTGCATTGGTAAATTTGAAAATGCAAGTGTTGGGATTATTTTGGAACGGAGAAAGTACTTTGTTACTATCTTGTGGTTTTGTTTTTCTTTGTCATTGGAGAGTTCTGATCTTCGAATTATTGTTACCACCAGGTCAGGAAAGCTGCTTCAAGAAAGTGGAAGTCATTCATTAATAACGTAAGCATTTTTCTAAGAAATATTTGTTTAAAGCTAAACTAGTTTTATAATTGAGGATAATATGCTTTTTTTACTCCTTCCCTCCATAAAGAATGGTGTTTATGGTACTGACAAAGGTTAAGTTTTTCATTATGGTGTTTTACATGCACTTAATTACACTTAGTAGAAATAACAATATAATTACACATAGTAGATATCCCTATATAATTATAATCAATGTGCTTTTGAAGCTCAGCACAATTGAAGGACATATAATTATTACTCCTTTTAGTTTGCATTTGGAAGGCTATCTATTTTAACACTTGTGGAAGACAATAGCTGATATGACATTCTTTTTTTGGAGATTTGAGGGAATTATTTTATGCGATATTTTTTTGGTGCGGATGGAGTGTTTAACCCTAGAGCAACAAAGATGATCATTAATAATCAATAACAACAACCAACCTATTATATTCCCAAAGGTAGAGTCAATTCCAGAAAGAACCCTGGAGTTAGTCCACGGTCATTGATCAGTGGCCATAAGACCATAAGTAATAATTGGGTGCCAAATGCTAAGGTGGATATGGTGCCTAATAAATGGCATTAAACTTGTGGTGATTGAGGAAAAAAGGTTGGAATGTAGGTGGGAATGAAATAAGCACTAGGATACAATGGCGGTGAATGTGAATGGGATAATTAAGTGGGCTTTGATATCAAGTAAGTTAGGATGCAAAATTGGACCAAGTGAGTGAAGAGGATTGTTGTGGCTATTAGATGAAAATATCGGTTTCATTGTTTTTACAATGTTTCAAAGTTAATGACATTTAGAAGTTAGAACTAAAATGAACTTAGATTTGTAAAATTGAATTGTTCTATAAACCAGCCTTGATACATCTTTCATTCCTAAAATTTCTCCTCAATTACTTTTTTTTCCGCAGTTTAATGAATTACTGTCTGGCTCCCCACGTAAATCTTCTCTCTTACGAGATTCAAACCACACACTTTACACTTTTGTACATGTTTCTTATGCTGTGTGAAATCAACCTACGACTTGAAAGCTGGGACGAAGGCACAACATAATTGCAAAAATGAACCGCGTAAAGCAACCATATACCTACCTATTTGGATTCTAATATACTAGGGGCCATAACATGCATGTACCCCATCTTTCTTCAAATTGGGGAACAGCCATTGTTTTTTTGTTTTCCAATTTGACATAATTTCAGACGTATGGCTGTTGATTGCATAGAAGCATAGGCAGGATTTTTATATTGTTGACTAATTTCAGCCTAGCTAGTAGTTTTTCCTTTTCTGAAATTGGACTGAGGTAGCTGTAACTCTGGAGGAATCACTGCTGATTCAGCTGGGACTAATACACACACACACACACACACACACACACACATATATATATGTTCCTCTTATATATATTGATATGTATATATTTGAACTTTCAGGATAAGGTCCCTTACTTTCACAAGGCACAACAGGAGTTTAATAGAAAGGCGTATGGATCGTGGGAACTGGTTTGCTCGTTGTCTTCATTGTTTTAGAGTGCAATAATTGATTCATTAGATTTTCGTCTTGATGGAAATTTCTGTTGTCGCGCAGGATGGTAAGGTGCCAAACTATGCGCAATCCTCCTGGTAGAGAGCGTATGATCGATGTATGTATGTTACGGAGCATTATGTATGGTTTAGTCTGTTCAGTTTGATGGGAATGAAATGTTTGATTTTGAAAGAAACCAAAGAACCCCCCTCCATCTCTCCCTCATAATCCTGCAACATACTACTTTACTACTATAGCATAGTTGCAGTGTCTAAATATTGGGTTTGTTTTATAACTCTATTTGTTGTTGGAATCACCTCATGAAGCATATCCCACACCCTTTAATGGGCCTGATATGTATTCAAGTGCTTAACTTCATGGTGGGCATCACATCAACCCTCAATTTTTGGGGTGGTAAATGAACCCCAACAAAAAAAAAGGCATGGAGCTTTTTGAAAACTAAAATAGACATTGTTTTTTAAAATTTTGAAACGACAAAAAATAGGCGATTGATCGAACCAATACTAGAGAGTTATAGCTTTTTCTCTTCAACTTATTCTTAGAGTATTTGATTTTGTTGCTATATTAATGATATTAATGAAAGTATTGTTTTCTAAAAAAATATTCTAACATAAATAAATTAAATATTTGTTTTATAAATATTTGTTTTATTATTTGTGATAACCCGGCCTGTTTATAGGGATACGATGTTGATGGTTGTTCTGGCTCCTTACCTGGATGAATTTTCCGGGTTCAACCATCCTCTTGTGACTGGAAACCATCTGAAAAGGCAGCTCCCTCAAAAAAAAAACACAGTAACAATTAAGATCAAAACAATTCATATATTAACTTCAATATTATTCTACACTAAAGACCATGTGTAAAAATATTGAGTCACTCACATTGATCTTGCGTTGAAGCTGCTTGAGTCAATATCCACCTTCAAGAAGATGTAATCTTCATCATGTTCATATACTTTTGCAATTTGGGTGAAGTCCTATGCATGATAAAGTCAATTTTTGTTGGGGAAATTAACGATAACTTGGATGAATCGAGAGTTGTGTAAACACTTTCAGATTGAATATTTTGGTTCTTTATTCCAAAATTCAATTGGATAAAACTCGAAGGTATCAAGAAAGAATATGAGAATTGCTGTGAAAAAATCGAACTTCATTCGACCATGCCCAGCGGGATTTTATAGACTAGGGGTGAGAAGGAGAAGACACCATTCGCGGCTATTACCCAAAGCACGCAATTCTTCGCGCGGAAGTTCTTCTTCAAAATTCGGTGCTATCCATCAGAAGTTTTCCTTTAAAGAAAATTCGAAAATTAAAATTCCAATTGAATTTTTTAACATAGCACCGAGCCCAAAATAAAAATTTTTCGAGCCCCCAGCTAGGGGCTCTGCCCCTTGGACCCCGCAGGGGCTGCCGCCCCTTGAACCCTGCTTGGGGGCGCTGCCCCGAACCCCGCCAAGGGGGAGCTGCCCCCTTGGAACCCCCGATGTAACAGGATTTTTATCGTAACAAACTCAATGAAGCGTGCACTCCGCACCACCAAACTTCGTTGATGATTATTAGGATACCATTGGTCGTAGTTTTTTCCAATTACACTAAAATATACAGGAGTATAACAATTTTTAGTTTCTGTAATGCTCCGTAGAAATAAAAAAGATAAATTCAATACTTTTTTTCAATAACAAAAAGAGAGATTGCAATCACCTTATGAATTTGTGGAACATGTTGAAGACAAGCACTATATATATAGATATGCAAAACAATCTAATTATGAGTTTACAATTAAATTATATTTGATGTAACTTTTATATGTGTGTGTGTGTGACCTGGAATGAAGAAGAATAATGAGATTCTTCTCCTTATACTCTTCAGCGTAAAGGAAGCCCTCCAAATCATCCAACGTCGAAACATCAATTTCTTTGCTCTCGATTCTCGAATGCTGTTATTGGCTACATAAAATAATGTGAACTTTTATTATGCACACGCAAGGAGGATCCAAGAATTTAATGTAAACACAAAACATTCATTGTAAAATACTTAGGGTCCGTTTGGTATAAGGAATTGCTGGAATTAGAATTGAATTGGAATTGAAATTTTATGGGATTCAAATCCATAGAATTGAATTTTGTCAATTTCAATTCATTTTTTGCATTATCAATTCCAAATCCACATAATTTTTGTGCTACCAAACACTAGAAATGGAATTGAAGTCTCTAATTCCAATTCTATAGTTTGAATTCCATGTACCAAACGGGACCTTATTGTTTGCACAAATTTTAGTATTCAGAATTTCAATAAAATTACTAAGTCCGTCCTACAATATTTGTTCAATTTTGGTTTTGTTTTGCAATCATTTTGATGTGAATCAAAAAAGTAACATGGTCGTGCACGCGGGCCCCACCAGAGCGGGACCAATACACAAGATAATGTTTATTTGTATTTTAGTGATATTATACAAGTATCTCATGCAAACCCAAGAACACGGTGAAAGAGATCAATGCCGAAACCGGAGCATTGGAGCGTGGAGGAGAAACAAACGAGAAGGAGCATATACTGACCGAGTCACGGTCGAACTAGTGGACCGTTCAGTTCACACGGTCGAACTACAGGAAATACAAGAGTCCTACTTATGGTAGGGATAGGAAAAGTAAATATGGTAGGACTAGAATAAGGAAGCATAATTCTATTTCCTATTAATTTTTAATTATATAGCTTACTTTAATGATGCCTATAAATGTGCCTTGTATTCTCACTTGTAAGATAAGAGGTTGAAGTTGAGTTTGAATGAAATGTTGAGTGTGTTTTTGTAATGCTGTGCGGGGTCGAGAAATTTGTTAGAATTTCGAAAACGTGCAAGTTGTAAAACAACACCAAAGGTGTTGCCACGCCAGGTCTCGTGGAGGTGTCAAAGTCATAGACTAGTGAGTCTCTAAATCACCTTATCCATACTTGTGTTCAAACAGAAGAATTCCTGGGAAAAACAAAAACCGGCCTTCTACCGGGTTCGAGCACACCACATTCAGAATCGACCTTCAATCTATAATTAAATAAAAATGGAGGAGAGAAGGGGAGAGAAAGAAAGAGGCCGGATTGTTTGGTGAATTTGTGCAAAAAACAAATTGAGGAAGAAAGAGCGAGACTTCATAAAGGAGAAAGAGAGCAAAATCTGATGAGAAACCAAGGAGAAAGAGAGGTTATCTATAACAGTATAAGAGGTATAGAGATGAGGCAGATGCTGCAAGGATGATGCATGGAGGAGGACCTTATAAGCTTGATCACACATGCAAGACCAATCCCCAAGCTCAAGCTGGAAGTGCTTGACATGCAATGTGTTTGGTTCATATGTATACATAGACGCACACAATTACCTGATATCCGCTCCCACTCATTAGAGGGACTAGAGGAGCATATCCAACCCCATAGTCGTCGTCCCTCTCCTCCAAAGAGAGTTGTTGCCCATTGACTGCTTCGTAAAGACGGGGGGCATCGGAATCCATGAGAATATGACCATAACCCTGCAAGCCCCAATCATATCCCCACTGATTTTTTATGATCCAATATTTGAACTCTCCATACCGACATCTGTAAACTCCCCACCCGACTAAGAGCACTGTATGTCCATGGATTTCATCTGAAAGCTGATCAGGATAAAGATGATGTTTGACCGCCTGCGACATATCCAACAGTCCCTAAAAAACATAAAAGAATACTCAACATATGATAGTGACGATTGACTAATTACTCCCGAAATGAAAACAATGCACACACATGTAGAGTACTGCTCCGTATATACTATCCAAATTTTTAACATTTTGTTGATGTTTTATTCTTTTTATACAACACTTTCACATTTCATTAAAAAACTTATTTTATCCATATACTAACTATTCTTGTAGGGTAAACTTTCAAATCATATCTACTCACATAATTCACTTTTAATTTAATTCTTATCTAACCTATTACATCATATTTATACACTATTAATCTATCCATTACATTCTACTTTTACTTATCGCATCCAAGAGCGAAATTGGAAAATCAACAAAAAAAATACACTCATCTTAAAATGGCTAAAAGTTAAAATGGGAATTGTTTTCCAAATGAAGTTGTAACATTTTTTTTGAAACGGAAGGAGTACGTATTTTTAACTACTTCCTCCATCCCACAAAACTTTTCCAGTCTTGACATTTAGAAGAGAAAGCGGTAAAAATTTGACCAAGGAAAAAAAATGACAATTGAAACAAATAAGGCTTGAGAAATGTCAAAATATGAAGAACATAGAAGGAGGTGGAGTAGGCCAGGTTAGGTTATATTTAGAAAAATAGCAAGGGCATTTATGTGCATTTAGCCCAAATTGAATTTTTTTTGGGACAAGTCAAAAGTATAAGGGGAAAGGCTTTGTTGGACGGAGATAGTATAAGATACAATGTATTTTTTTATTTAATAATTTTAGTTATTTTAGTATTTTTTTAATTTTTTGTAGTGTTATTAACTAAAAAAAATCATGACTCTAAAAAAAATGAGTGGAAACGCATGACTTTATAGCTAGTCGATCTATGAAAATTTAAGAAATATGAATAAAAATTCATGAATTTAAAATATGAACAGAAATGAGTTTACAATACACCTAATTATTTTTAGGAAAAATTCACAGGATTACTCCGACAAATATCTGATTTTACAAGAATACTCTGAAAATTAATTAATTACATCATTACTCCAACAATTGTTCCTTTTTACAAAAACATTCCACCCGTCACCTCACTTGCACAATCATATTACAATATCTGAATGAATTTTTGAAGTGATGACTTAAAAAATAAATCACGTTTTATAGTTTTGAAAAAAAATTAAATTTAATTAATCAAAAATTAAAAAAATTACTGAGAAAGATCCAAAAATAAGTGATTTATAAAGTTTTTCAATAAATAACGAAAATTATATCATTGTATAGAGTTTGACTGTATGACTGTAACGGTTCAATAAGATTTTAGTTTGGATAAAGTTGGACAAAAAAGAGTTTTCCAACTGGGACCAAATTAGTCCCAATCAGGGATGATGTACAAAATCTCAGAACGGTGCCGCTCACCCCACTCAGTCGATGGAACAGGAAAAGGAAGCAACCCAACCTTGGCTTCTTCTCCTTCCCTTCACTATATAAGGAGGACTTCCAAACTTCATTTCTTCACCATTCTTTCTAATTTTTCTTGCTACGAGTTTGTGAGAGTGTAGAGGTGTTGCCTAGTGAGCCTAAGGTCGTCGGATTTGGGAGCGATTATCGCCGGAAGTTTTGCCAGATAAATCTCAAAACCTTCGTTAAGCTTCGAGGTAAGGCCGTAGATATATCTAGAATGTTCGTATAGAT